AGTTTGATTCCTGGAGGCAGATTTTTTTTTTTAATCCTGCAAGTGTCAGATAATTGGAAGGGTGGAGTCATGCTTTAAACCTCGACACACCTTTGTCAGGACTTGTTTGGAAGCAAAGAACTGAAAGAAACAAGGGGGAGAGAAGTGAACATTTTTGAAAGATCACTCAGCTCTAACACACCTTGGCTGGGTCTGGATAAAAAAAAAAAGTGGGAACGGCAAACAGTCTAGAAGAAAACATCAGGGGAGGAAAGAAGAGGCATTTACTCAAAGTTGTTTCCGATTCCTTCAGTATCTCAAACTAGGTAAGTCATAGGAATTTGGTGGTTCTCACTCCTTGTGAGATTTTAATTTGAGGTTTGCCGCTGAGAACTTGAATGTTTGTTGGAGAATCTAAGATGACATTCTTTAATTTCCAGTGTTCTGTTGATGTGATTAATTGATCATAAATGATTAGTTTGACTTATGTGTTCTACTTAGGGTAGCTCTTTTAAAGGGACAAGAAAGTTTTGACAGTGGGAAAAAGAATAAAAAAGCCAGTGAAAATAAAGTGAACACCAGTGACAAGATTTCTTTGGTACTGTTTTCAGTATTGTAAAATGACTTGTGTTAAACTGTTTTATTTAGAATATAAAAAGTTTAAAATTCCTTCTCTCTCAGTCTCGGTTTCTCTCTTCTCTCTCTCCACCTTCCTCTACTTTTCCTCTCACCCCTTGATAGCAGAGAACAGCTCAGAAATCAAAGTGTAGGTGAGTGGGGGTTTCTAGAAGTAACCCCTGAGTACCAGAGTGCTCCCCCAGAGTCTGTGCTGGCAGGTTCTGACTAAGCTCAAGAGGCTGGCTGTATATCACACTCTATACTTAAACTACCCCTAATCTAAAGTAAAGTGAAATATCTGAAATGATATATTTAATCCAGGAACTTCCTGGAGTCAAACTTGGAACAAGAAAAAAAAATTCTGTCACATTTTACAGGCCAGTGTAGACCAAAAGAAATTCATTTTGGGACGAGAACTACCAGTTTAGGTATCTCACTAGACCACATTAACTACTAACTGACAATTTACCGCTTTACTTTTTTGAAGTGTTGGCGAATCCTCTAGCACCTCACTTCTTTGAGAAGCAGCTAATCAGTAGCTTAGTAGTTGGATTTGTTCTTTCCATAAAATATAGGGAGATTTTTTAAAGAAATCTATTTGGAGAGCGGAACCATTTCTCTTACCCCCATATGCTTTCTCTTAGAGCTAAGGCACAAATCTAAGTTGAAACTAAACTAAAGCTAATGTACAGCCTCCAATGGAGCCCTTTTAACATGGGGGCACTTAAAGCAAGGAATCTTGCTTCAAGCTTGGATAGAAACCCAGATTGCTGAAACCGCTCTGACCTAAGAACTAACCACATTTTTAAATTATGCCTGACCAAAAGAAGTTTGCATCTGCCTGGTTTGGCTCAGTTGCCATTGTTAGTGGTAGCAGGATTTAACCAAACATGGCTATAAACAAGCAGCTTAATCACCAAGCTAGGGCCCAAGCTCCCCCAGCCCTGGTTATGAAAATGGAGGATGCTAAATGCAGAGGTGGGGGCACCCATTGCTTGCCAGAGGGGTGTAGAGACAGAAGCCTCTGAGACTGTCGACCCTAGGGCATGGGTGTTCATACCCCCTGCAAACTGCTTGGCCCTTCTGTGTTAACAGAGCAATAGCTAGTGGGTGGTTTTCCCACACTTTGGTTATTTTGTTGTTGTTTTAAAATGTTAAGTGTACAGAGATTGGAGTAACAAGAGCTGTAAAGATACCTATGATTCCTTAGCAGAGGATAGGGACATTTATTCCTAAAATAGAAAAACATTTCCTTCTCTATTCCCTTCTTTGTGCTAAAGGTCAAGCATTTCATCAATTGTTATAAGAAGGTCAGTTGAGATGGTTTTCTCTTGGTATCAGCAATTTGGCCTTATTTGTGCCTGGGTTACACCCCATCATCAATGGGAATAGTTTTAAGTGGATGTGACATCATTTAAGTGAAGAGGAAAGAAAAAAACTCATAAAAGTAGGAAAATGATTCTGAATTTTGTTTTCTTACATAAGAAAATGGCACAGGATCATTTTTATGTCTTCAAAAGAACATTATGAAATAACCACGAAGCAGCCCCTTAGAACTGTGAATGGAAATTAACAATTTTGGACTTGAGAACTTGAATGACCTGCTTATCCTTAGTTCTAGTAAAGTGGCCCAAACATCCCAGAAGTTTAAAATTATGCTACTTGACTGTGCTTTCGTTAAATAGTACTTTTGGGGCAAGGCGTTCAGATAAGCACTGCTGGGAGAGGCAGGCTCAGCCACGAGTCTAGGCATGTACTTTCCTTTCCCTTATGTTACACTTTTTAAAAACTCTCGGTACTTAAAATATTTAAGAAGGAAATCCTGTGGGAAAACTGTAGCCCCGTGGGATGATCCCCATCCAGGTTTGTGCCTAAACCCATCATTTTCGCTTTGATAATCACAGAAAACTTCCTCTCAGCTCTGGTTGAAAGGAATTTGTCTCCTGATACATCCCTGCCATTTCTGACTGTTGGTCTCGGTAAAGCCAGCAGAGCTCCTTCCTTATTTCAGGTCCAAGAAATCACTGTGTAAGGCCACGGGATGCAGCCATGTAGGAGCTCCAGGCTGAGACAGAGGTTGCATCTACCTTCACCCACCCAGGGCCCTTCTATCTCTAGAGCACTGGCCAGTGAGGGCTCCCCTCCCTCCCATTCTGGAGGGGGGCATCTGATTTCTTAGCAGGCTATCTCCTTGTGCCCTCTGGAAGTTAGGGAACTCTTGGCTTTTTTTGTTGCAGATCTTAAGGCTTCATCTTTGGGACCTAAGAAAAAGATAGGGGCTACCTAGAAATGTTTGTTGTATTTTTAGGTACAGAAAGAACAAGAAAACACTTGCCAGGTTGGCTGCCTAGACGCTGAGACTCTTACCAAATGGACTGGAGCTATCATCAGTCTGCCTTGATGGCTATAAGTGGAAACGACCCAGTCAATCCAAATTTATAGCTGCCGGCAGCAACTTTCATTTAAGGATGGTAATAAGTGATAACTTGTGGAAAGTTAAAGTTTCCATAGGTTGTTATAAAAAATTATCCTGAAAGGAACTGTTCATAACAATTTGGGTGCTGCCATGCTAGGTGGCTCCCCACTGGCAGCTAGGGGCATGTGAACATTTAATCTCCAAAATGCCTCCTGGTTCACAGCTGATGATGAATTTTAAAAAAGAGAGCGGAGGTGGGGGGGGTGGTTTCAGAGATGCCAAAGGCATTAATGCCTAAACAGTGGATTTCAAAGAGGGTGTCAGGTTGTACGTAGATTGGTGAGACAGTCCTACAGATAATAGCTGGAGTACAGACACAGTCACAAGTCAGGTTTGGCCCTCTGATAAAGCTGGACTCCGCTGTTAAAATTGCTCATGGAGCCTCTGCTCTTCAGCTCTGGGAAACATACCTGCAAAGAACTTCTGTGTCTTCTTAGATGCAGCCAGGAATTTTTCCATGATGCCTCATTCCTTGCCTAGAGCTGCATTTAAAAAACCCCGGTGAGCAAAAAGTTGGCACATTCGATCAGGCCCTGAAGCTAACTGTGCGGATCTTGGTGAATTCCATCAAGTAGTTGACCAGTTGGTCTTGTGTGGTCTTGATTTTCAGTGGGGAACTCACCCAGGGCTTCATTTGGACTTTTGTTGACCTAGATACTTTTGCCTTTGTTGATGTCCTTCCTCCATTAAAAAAAAAAAAAAAAAAAAAAAGACAAAAAACCGCATGAAAGAATATAATCCAAGTTAGAGGGTGTTCATTTTTCCATTTGATTTTAAAAGAAGTTAAAAACTTTTTGCGGGCCCCTGAAACTATGGTGGGACTAGGCCCTGTGCCCATTGCACCTAGTGGATAAGTAGACCGTAAAGTCACCAGGCAGGAGAAAAAGACTGAAAGGAGAGATCTTCAAGAAAGGGGTGTCCTGGGTGGGAGTAGCTTGCTCTAGAATTCTAAAATCCCGATTTGAACTGCACCCAAAAGATCAAGCAGGAGGAAAGGAAGGTTGGGCAGAGAGAACCCCAGGGAAAGCCAGGTTTCAAGTCCTTGCAGAGCCTGAGACTGGTAACTACAGCCAAAAGCACCCAGTTGGAACAAGGATCCTTACCTTGGTCTCCTGAACTGTGTCCCTCCCCAGTCCAGCCCAGCCCCACCCCTGCAGTCAGCCTTGCCTCATCCCATCCACGCTTCAGGACACAGTGCACAAGATCTCAGTGATTTTTCTGCCCAGAGTAACAGTGAAGGGAGAACGTAGAACTTGTACAGATCTTTTCCTACATATTTCAGTAGATTTTACATTGACTTTCTTGTTCTTTTTTTTTTCCTACCTAAGTCTGTAAAGAAGCATAGTAGGGCTGTTGTGTTAAAGAGAAAATTTCATGTTGTGAAGTATAAAGTTCCACACAAGTATGACCATCATAATGGTTTTTATCCTGATTTCAACCCATCAAACATCATTCTCACATCTGAACTCTAAATAATGAAGCATGAATTTCTTTTATTCACGGAGCATTGTACAGAACACTGAACATTGTGGGATACATCAAAATGAATTAGCTGAAAGCACCATGTGCTTTGAGAGATATTGTATTACTTGGCAAAAAGTGGAAGTTTTATAGTCAAATGTCAGGGTGCTAGATCTATGTAAGACCTTTAATGCTCAGCAAGGTGCAACCTGGTCAACTGGACCCTGAAAAAAATAGATAGTACAAAAGAGTAGGATCCAAGGTGGAACTATTAAATTACTTCCTAACTAAGAAATGGGAATGACTCTTATTAAAATATACACACATGAAAGAATTATGGTTTGAATTCTGGGAATCCAGTTTTAGTTCTCAGCTTGAATAGTAGGGACCTATACTATATATGAAAAGGGGTGGTAATGGACATGGCTATTCCTGGTTTCTGGCTTTTTCTGTAGGTGGCGATGATATGGATGTAACCAAGAAGAACAAAAGAGATGGCACTGAAGTCACTGAACGAAGTAAGAGCGTGATAAATGTCATTATAAAAGTAATAAAAGTTTGGAAAAAGTAAATAATTCGTTCCTAATTCTGCCACAACTACTGTATCTTTTTTTCTATTTCTTATGTTTTTCTTTAGTTTTTTCTTAGTTTTTTGCTCTTTTTTCACTGTATAATTTTTAATGTATTCCTAAATAGGCTTTATTTTTTCCTTTAAGAAAGCTTTTGTTGATTTTTTTAATACACTTGTAATCGAAATGTGTTCCGTTTTTCCTTCAAAAGACCAGAAGTGCCATTTCAATGTCACAGTTTTTATAACCAGCATTTTTAATGATTTCATAATATCATGTTGAATGAATTTGCTAGAGTTTATTCAATTGTGTTCTTATTTAGGGATACAGGGTGATGGAAATACAAAAGAATAATGTCCCCATTACTGCAGGGACAAAGTTGGAATCACACTGGTGTCACAGTTGCAATCTACTCTGAAAACTGAAAACAGGCACATTTCTTTTGTGAAACTGCCCAAATGATAAATTCAGAGACATTTAAACTGTCCCCTTAGCAGCTCTAACTCTTTCATCTATCCTGTGCCTTTCATATATGTCTTAAAAAAAAAAAAAAAAAAAAAACTCTGTGTCCACAGACTTGGAACTCTAAGTTAAGAAATAATCTATTTTTATGTGTCATAGAATCCCAAAAGTCACACAACAAGAGGTTTAGTGAAAGCTCAAGGACTATTATTCAAATCTAGCTGCCATTTTTGTCTCTACAACCATTTCCTTTTATGCATGTGATGCTGCTTCTGCTCCTTTAATAACCCCATGTTGCTGCTAAGACAACCAAACTAATAGGAACACGCAGGGTGTAGAAAGAAAGGGTGACAGGTGGGAGCAGTAAGACCTGTGTGGGAGGGAGCAGTTGCCAGCACACAAGGTGATACCCCACCATCTTCTTCATCCTTTTCTTTTTTCATGAGCTATACCTACATACATACCACATATATGCATATGCTCAGGCTTGTGCACACACATACGCATGAGAAGTGTGATTTCAGAAAACAGGGTGCTCAGCTAAACAGTGGCACCTTGATGTCCAACCCAGAGGGAGGTAGTGGTTGGTGATGGTCACGGTCAGAGCACAAAATTGGCCCGGTTATGGTTTCAGAATCTACCCACCCCCCATGCTGCTGTAGAGGAGAGAGTGATTCAGGAAGGCAAGAGTTCTTTATTCTAACTGGTGTTTTTAAAAAACACAAAAAACTTTTATGACCTCCATAGACTCACCACCACTTGGCACCTTCTCCATTCCCTGGTGGCTCAGATGGTAAAGTGTCTGTCTACAATGCGGGAGACCTGGGTTCAGTCCCTGGGTCGGGAAGATTCCCTGGAGGAGGAAACGGCAACCCACTCTAGTATTCTTGCCTAGAAAATCTCATGGATGGAGGAGCTTTGGTGCAGGCTACTGTCCATGGGGTCGCAAAGAGTCGGACACGACTGAGCAACTTCCCTTTCCATTTTAGGAGGCAAAGGGACTGATTCTCAAGTCTGTCTTGGATATTCACCTGTCCATGATTTCACCAAGCACCAAATGTGACTTATCAACCCCCTTCCTCCGTACATCTCCTCACACTCAGGCATGGCCCTGAAGATTTTAGAATGAATTATGCATCCTTGAGATACCCCCCAAATTCATAAAGAAGCTCAAGGTCATTATCCACATCACAGTGGAATCAGCCAGGAGATGTACTGGCCTCAGCTGGAGTGGGTGACTGTTCAGAAGGGACAGTGCAGAGAAAAGTGACTTGAGGTTCTGATCCTGCTTCAAAGGTGAATCCAGGCCTGGGCGAGATCTAATTGTTAGATGAGAGACATTAATGCACGGTAACTCGTTTTTCAAATCAGTGGGTAGCTAACTACTTTTGGTCCCAAAGAAATATAAACCTATTTTCCAGATACATTAAGTCCCATTGTTATTGCACCTATTTGCTTTTACAGTGGGTCAGATCAAATCCCTTGAAGCCCAAGTGTGTAAAAATCTACCTTGAACCTCATTAATGTGCTGAGCTTATGAATGATGCGAGACCTTGCCAAAGTAGAGGAATTTCAATGCATTACATAAGATCTCATCTTTTCTTTGTCTTTTTCTAGTCATCACAGAAACAGTAACTACAAGACTTACATCCTTACCACCAAGTAAGTGACTTATTTTGAGCACTTTCTTCTCATGAAAGCTCGTGTGAAGGGCTCCACGTATAATCTTTTTCATGAGCTCTCACTCGTCAGTCCAGCAAATCCAGAATATCAGAAATCTTTTTTTTTAACAGACGTGTTGACTTTAACTGATATCCCACAGAATCCACCAGTTTGAAGTGTGTAATTCAATGGCCATTAGTCCATCCATAGAGTCATGTGGCCCCTTTGCAACAATCTAATTTTAGAACGTTTCCATCCTCCTTCCCCTCTCTCTGGCCTCTAAAAAGCACAAATATGCTCTGTCTCTATAGATTTGATTGGACACTAAAATATCAGACATCTTCTCCAGCCTGGGCCTGGGTTGGGAGGAGGGAACCGTAGTCAGGCTTCTGTTTGAATCTACTCTTCTCTCAGGAGGTTGCTGGGGTTAGTGAATTCTATAATGGAGATCCAAGCCCCCGAGCTAGCCCTGCACCTCCTGGGAATCCTGGTTCAGGACAAGGTGGGAAGCCCCCGCATCCACACATAGGTTGGAGCATGAAGAGCTGCCAGGTGAAACACCATCCTCATAGAGCTGTCGCTCAGCCCTCTGACACTTCCAGCGGCTGCCAGGTCCAGGGCACTGGCCAGGCATTCACAAAAGTCCAACCTGGGCCCTGGCTTCAAGGAGTTTTCATTACTTGCTGACTTTTCTAATATTTAAATTATCCTAACCAGCAACCACCCTGGGAACTTTCTTTTTAAATTGGGTAGAATATTTGCTCTTGACCTTTGTATCAAAAACAAACAAAATGAGATCCATGTGGTGCCGGTGGGAAAGAGGCCCCAAACCAACAGGGCCATGAGTGAGAAGCCAGGGAAGGCAGGTGAGAGGGGCTGCTGAGTCCACTTGTAAATTGTCACCTGCCCCTCGTTTCTGCAGAAGGGGGGACCAGCAATGGCTATGCTAAAACAGGATCTCTGGGTGGAGGGAGCCGGCTGGAGAAACAGAGCCTGACGCATGGCAGCAGCGGCTACATAAACTCAAGTAAGTGCCTGCTGGTGGGAGGGGTCGGGGAAGGGCAAATGGGCAGGGAGAGGGGTCACTACCACTGTTTGTCGTCCATTCCAAATGCCCCAAAGAGCTGTGAGGCCTGTTTCAAATGGGGTCAGTTGTCATTATGTCCCCAATAAAAATAACATGATTAAGAAGCTTTCCTAGAGAGGTGACTCCTTTCCTGCTGAACTAGTTACTCTCTTTAACTCATTTCTTTTAGAAAAGGGTATGCATGTCTGAGGGTTTACAGTTGAATTAACAACGACAAAACAACAAAAAAAAACTTAATGGTTAGGTTACTGTGCTAAGGAAATCTGGTGACATACAGCCCCAGACTGTGTGAGTTTCCACTGGGCAAATATCCAACACAGACCCAGTAGATGCCAAAGAAATAATATTTCCTGGTAACTTTCAACTGAAACACAACAAACAAAGCAGGGAAAACACATATACATGCACATTGCCTCTAAAGCTATAGTTTTAAACTTTATATTTTATATTGGAGCATAGCCAATTAACAGTGTTGTGATAGTTTCAGGTGGATGGCAAAGGGACTCAGCCATACATATAAATGTATCCATTCTCCCCCAAACTCCCCTCGCACCCAGGCTGCCAGACAACATTGAACAGAATTCCCTGTGCTATATAGTAGGACCTTGTTGGTTATCCATTTAAGATACCACAGTGTGTACATGTCCATCCCAAAGTGAAGTGAAAGTTGCTCAGTCGCATCCAATTCTTTGCGATCTGTATAGTCCATGGGATTCTCTAGGCCAGAATACTGGAGTGGGTAGCCTTTGCCTTCTCCAGGGGATCTTCCCAACCCAGGGATAGAACTCAGGTCTCCCACATTGCAGGCAGATTCTTTACCAACTGAGCCACAAAGGAAGCCCATCCCAAACTTCCTAACAATCCCTTACTCCCATTCCCCATTCCCCTCCCATGCCCCTCACCACTTGCAACCAGGAGTTCATTCTCCAAGTCTGTGAGTCCGAAGTCATTTTTTAAATCTTGGAATGACACTGAAGAGAAGACCCAAGATATGCAAACAGCTGAGCTACCCAAGAGCTGCACATGTCCTTACCTGTGGAGAAATATTTGCATGTGGGGTTATATTCCAGTGCACCCAGCAGTGGTCTACAATTACAGGCCAGGTCCCTAGGAAACAGCCTGCTTCTCCACTTCCATGCACTTTGGCTACAGACAGAAAGGACCTCCCTGCCTTTCAGGGTTCTGGGAAAGGGCAGCAGCAATAATTCCACCTCCATTTCTGAGCACCCTTTCAATCACGCTCTCCTGAAGGCCTCTGGCCCCTCCACAGGGCCCTCCTTCTTTAGGACTGACTGCGTGTACCTAGTATGACTGTATGTCGCCCTGTGAAGTGCTCTGAGGGTTTATGTCTTTCCCCACTTGTAGGTGGGAGCATGCGAGGCAGTGCCTCCACCTCCAGTTACAGGAGGGCCCATTCACCTGCCTCCACTCTGCCCAACTCACCAGGCTCGACTTTCGAGAGGAAGACTCATGTCAGCCGCCATGGAACATATGAAGGTACAGGCCCCACAGACTTTAAGAAAGAACTACTCTCTCCCCTCAGTAACTTCTCTCATCCTTTGAATGAATTCAGTTATTTTGTCCTGAAGTAGAGCCTCTGGCGTGACTTTCTGGTGGGGCTACTTCGCAGGCAATAGGACACATAGGACTTGAGCTCAGGTAAGAAGTCAAGGCAAGACACCCAGTTTGGGGTTATCCACAAAGGGTTGTTAGACGTTGGAAAACTGGAGGAGTTTGTCAGGGAAGAGAGCTCAAAAGCAGAAGGGAACACAGAAAGATAAAGTCTGGGGGAAACGGAGAAAGAAGAGCCAGATCCCAGAAAGGAGGAGTCAGTGGCAATGCCATTTCAGTCAGGGCGGGGGGCAAGCTCATGGTCAGGAAGGAGAAGGTGAGAGGAAGACGTCTGGGCTCTTCTCCTAAAGTTACTGGAATTCCTGGCGATCTACATAAATCTACAGTTTTAGTGGAAAACAGACAAGCCAGGTGCAAATGGGTCTAATAGTGAATGAGATGGGTACTAGTGATGGAAAGACGGGATATCCTGCTTCTGGATATCCCAGTAAATGATTTTGACCCAGGGCTGCCAAAGGTAGGGAGAACCCTAAGTCCAGGCCAGGTGGAGAGGATCACCACAAGCGCACCCTGCTGCTCTGCCAGCACCAGTCTCTTCACTTAACGAGGCCCACCTCCAGAACAAGCCGCACGAGGTCAGAGAACTGCTGGTGCTGACAGCGTGTTCGTTTGATCAGAGATGGGTCTTCGGCATCAGCACTGCATAGGGCAGAGTTGAGGAAGCGAAAACAAAAAGGAAGTGAAACGGTTGTTCAAATTTGAACAACTTCAAACAGCTGTCCTTTGTTCACACCTTGTCTCACCCAAGTAGATCAGTGACCAGGAGGATGTGCCACAAGCAAGTCCCTTGGGCATAATGTGTTTAAATCCTGGGCTGAACACCCAGGCTGCAGAGGTGCAGAAAGGACCCACTCTCTCGGAAGCTATTTGGGCTTAAGTGGCCATTTGTACTAAGTGTTTGTCCTTTCTCCAGGGAGCTCCAGCGGCAACTCTTCCCCCGAGTACCCTCGGAAGGAATTTGGTATGTCCTATCCTTATTTTCTAAAGAAATGGTCGGTCAAGCCTGGCAGGGATGGAGAGGGAACATCATGAGTTAACATCATGAGTTAAGTGGGTTCTTCTAGAAGAGTCTGACCTCTGCTGACCTCTTTTTCTCGACTCTTTATCCTGAAGCATCTTAAGGGGATGGATGGTCAGATGCATCAGTTTGCTGTCAAAAGTCTTTGCTCATGAAATGGCAAGCTTCTCATACAAGGCTCAGGCTTGGGCAGATAAGCCCTAAGGCTAGGCAACAACCATAGATTTTCCCTTCCACAGGACCCACAGAGACCTTCCTACAAAGGGGAGCAGGGGTGAGAATACACAAATATCAAACATCCCAGCACCTCTACCACAGCAGCCTCAAAGGGGCACATTTTAGCCGAGTGAAACCCGAGGTGGGACCTTAAATCTTGAGTCCATATTCTTGGGTTCCCACGGTACATAAGAACTGATGATATGAGTGATTATAATTTCATTTATTTACTCGCTTACAGTGCAAAAACCAAGACAGTCTCTAACAGAAAACTAAAGGAAAGACCTGGCAGTCTCTTGATAAATTTGATCAATGTGATCAACCAGTTCAAATGGATCATGATTACCTTAGTTAACATTCTAAGTGTGAGCCAATTTAACATTCATTTGCTAATTTAGCACCCTAAACACACTGGGGCTTAGATAATTTTCTCTTCCCTTTGGCCATGTGGGCATCATTTATTAAACATCCACCATCCATAAAGGTTTCTATCTGTATATAAATGCACTATGAAAACCACTTCCCCACACAAATAGGTCTGCCTCCATGTCACAGATATTTAGCATGCCACCTCTTATATGTGCCTAATATTACTTTTCTTTGTTTCTCAGCATCTTCTTCTACCAGAGGACGGAGCCAAACACGAGGTAATCTCTGTCACTGGGTTCAGTTCAGTTCATCCAATTAGTATTTTCTGAGCATCTAACGTGTGTCCAGATATGAGCCAGGAAAAGTGAGGAGTAAAGAATGAATAAGCCATGGTTTCTGACCTCAAGGAACCTGTAGCACCTGGGAGTCTCCTTTGGGAAGGGTGGATTTTTGACAGCAGACTAGCAAGCGTGTGGAGTGGTTCGCTCTGCTGTGGATTGTCTGAAGGTGCTAGCATCACATCTCATCTCATGTCCAGTCTCCTGGGTGACTTTAACAAGTTGTGCTGTAATTGCATTTACACAGCAAAAAACAACAAAAAAAATGAGCACAAGCCCCTCTTTTTCATTGTTCCAGGGGATGAAGTTCTCTGCAAGAGTTTTGCACTGTCCACAACTGCTTGTGGATAAGGCCCTAGCAGGGAATGTGGTCCTGGAGAAAGCTGCCCTTGATTTATTCAGTGAGGGTGGCAAGCGGTGTGTCAGGGCAGTGCTGAAGGCAGAATTCCTAGGCCCTGGGCATTCGTAAGGGTCAGTCTAAGCCTCCCAGGGGCCTGGAAAGTTAGGCACATACCAACCACCCACAATTTGATAGTTGATTGATGCTGATGCTCCTCCTGAAACTTAGAATGTTAAATCACCCACTTGCTGCCCTAAAGAGACCAAGATGGCTAAGAATATACTAGAATTCTCTTGCTATTGGCTGAGAAACCCTGGAGACAGGAGAGCAGCTTGGTTCTGGTAAAGGGGAGTGGGCCCTAGGAAATTGTTGTGAGTCTCTCAGCCGGGTCTGACTCTCTGTGACCCCATGGACTGCAGCCTGCCAGGTTCTTCTGTCCATGGGATTCTCCAGGCAGGAATACTGGAGTGGGTTGCCACTTCCTTCTCCAGGGCCCTAGGAAAGCGGTTGGTTATTGCTGATTGTGATGGTGCCTCCAGGCTCAGCCTGTGGTTTCTGCTCTCAGCAGCTGGTGGGGGGTGGGGGGCAGTTGTGATTCGGTATAAGGAGAAGACTCCTCTTTCTAAGCAGCACTCATCGTGGGCACACCTAGGTTTTCTGTCCCTGAATCACAGAGCAGCCCAAAGATGAATCTGCAGCTCAGAGGTCAGTGTGGGGCACTGTGAGCCCAGCTCCTTCTTTGACAACTGTTCCATCTCTTCCCTGTACAGAGAGTGAGATCCGAGTTCGACTGCAGAGTGCGTCCCCATCTACCCGCTGTAAGTGCTCACGTCCTGGAAAGGATTCAGGAGTCCAGGGCTACTGCTGTGTGTGTGCAGTCCCTCTTGTCATAAATGGCATGTCTAAGGTTGCGACAGGGACCAGGGCTGAGTGCAGGGGTGAGGAGCTGAGTAAGTCCTGGTCCCTGCTGTTCTGTAGTTCAGAGACAATAAGCCACCAGCCATGACAGCTCAGGGATGGAGGGAGTGGGGGCCAGAGGAGTCTTCCCAGGTTAGTCAGTCACTTGAAGGGAGACTAAAGGAGGGTCTCAGCGAGATGAGTGGGCAGAGACATGGGAGCAGTTTCAGTATACCTGAAGGAAAAGGAGCAGGAGGGGCCTCAAAGGGTGGTTAAGACCAGAGAAGGCAGAAGTGTGAGAGTTCGAACTTGGTTATCTCGGATGTCTGTTTGTTGACCATGTTGCTCTCCTGTTGTCTGCCATTTTGAAATGAGCCCAAGTGGGTGGGAGCCAAGAACAAAGACCAGGAAGAGAAAGAGCTGGCTCGGGTGGCTCAGGATTCAGAGACTGGGACTTGTCCCAAGAGCTCAGGGCCTGGGCCGTGGGATCCAGCTCCAGGCCTGACATGGTCTCACCTGAGTCTTTCCAGGCTTGGGGAGGGCGTTGTTGAGCACAAAGTCTGGAGCTCTCAGGGGTGGGGGTGCCTGGGCGGTCCCCCGGCACATGTCACCAGCAAATGTCTCCTCACACGTTGCCCTTGCACGATGCCACCCTCTTCTGTTTGCCGCCTTGGGAGGCACAGCATGTTTTACTCCACTGAATCACCTCATTGCAAATCCTATCAGCTGGAGGGTCTGGAAATTAACTCACAGGAAAGCAGCGTAATGTTTGAGAGTTATGGGCCACACATTCCTTTTGACACTTCAGAGCATACAAGGTCAGAGACCCCACCCCCGAGGCAGCCTCTTCCTGGGATGAGACCACCACTGAACCATTTGTTTCAAGGGGTCTTATTTTCTGGCTATCCCAGGTGTGAATGCTCCCCCCGATTCAGGATTACAGGGTCTTCCAGCCACAGAATCTTCCCTGTGATGTCTAATTAGGAAATATCTATGAAGAACTTTGACCTCCTTATAGAGCCACTAGATTTATGAGGCCATTAACATTACAAAGTGCCAGGTTAATCAGTGCTATAAATTGACAAGATGCAGAAATGACAAGGCTAACCAGGAATGTTCCAGCAGGTGAAGTGGATGCTTCATCCTCCCCAGTGTTCAGGGTGCCGTGAATTTTCACCACTGCAGCTGGACTTGGGAAGGAATCCCAAGCCTAATGAAAAACTGGGGAATTCCTTTCAGGGACAGAATTGGATGATGTCAAGCGTTTGCTCAAAGGGAGCCGCTCAGCAAGCGTGAGCCCCACCCGGAATTCCTCCAACACACTCCCCATCCCCAAGAAAGGCACCGTGGAGACCAAGGTGGTGACAGCGAGCTCCCAGTCAGGTAAGCCCCTCAGCCCCAGGCTGCTGTGAAAGGAAGGGAATAAGGTGACAGGTGTGCCCAGGCAGGCTTTTCAGGATGCAGCAGACTTCACAAAACCCTGAGCATTGCTCTTCCTGCAGCATGAAAATGTGGACTGCACCCTTCTCACCTCCATCTGGTCAGCCTTCCCACGTGCAGGCCATTGTCTGGCTCTAGAGCCTAGAGATTCTCCCAGGAAATTCTTGACATGTCCTGGGAATGTGTTGGCCAGCTTCCCCGAAGGAAGAATATTGGGGAAAGTTGTAATGTTTTCAGTCATTCATTCACTCATCCAATAAATATTTATTATATACTGCCTCTATTCCAAGCACCAGGCATTGAGGAAAGGCAATGAGCAGGGTAGACTGAGGGGAAGATAAGCAGGATGAGTGTAGTTCAGCACTCATACATCATGTGCCTGCCAAGTGCAAGGTGGGTTCTGTGGGAGGCAGAGAGATGAATCAGCAGGTCCCTGGGGGGAGGTGAGGAGAGAAGCCAGTTCTGCTATATATGGAGGTGAAGCTTTCCTCTCACTACTGGAAAAAAAACCACCTTGCGATAGTGATCTTTTGTTTTTCAATATAAAACCAAAACTCGGAGTAGTTTGTGCCCTGTGTGGCTAACTCCCTCTCAGGTAACACATAGGCAGAATTGGTTTCAGATTTGAGATGCACCCAATGCCACTCAGGGTGACAGCATGCCCCTTGGGTCTGGTTGGCACAAAGAAATGTTTAAGGAGCGTTCAACAGGAGAAGGCTGCCACCGGTACCGAGTGGCCTCAGAACAGAGGACTTCCCTTCCTGCGCTGCTGTCTGGAATTCTACTGTAAAGGAGTCATAGCTCCACGGCATCTGTGTAGGGGAGTCAGCAACAGAGAGAGAGACCATTAACGAGGACAGTGCACTGGGAGGTGGTGGGGGGCTTAGAAGGAGAAATGGGTGGACCCTAGAGCAAAATTTACCTACTTCAAATTTCACCAAGAGCCAGCAAGAATTTCTGACCCAAGAGATCAGGTTTTCACCAGCAGCAAGATTTCAGACAGAAGTGGGATGACCAACTGCTGCAGTTCCCTTAGACTGAGGGAGTTGCCAGGACTAGGGACCTTCAGGGCTAAAACTGGGAAAGTCCTGGCAAACCAAGCCCACTGGGTTCCCCCAGCACAGAGAATGGGTTTGTCTCACTGGGGTGTGTGTGTGTTTCAGTGTCTGGCACCTATGATACAACCATCCTGGATGCCAACCTTCCCTCCCATGTGTGGTCCTCCACCTTGCCAGCGGGGTCCTCCATGGGCACCTATCACAACAACATCACAACCCAGAGCTCATCCCTGCTCAACACCAATGCCTATTCTGCAGGATCAGGTATGTGGCTCGTAGCGCACAGCCCCTCCCTGTCCCGACCCCGCCACACCTCACTCTGGAGCTGAACGGCCCCACCAGCATTCGCCATCCCCATGGCTTCCTAGAAAGGCTTCCTGTGGCCAAGCATCCCAAGATTTTTCCACTGGAACTTCAAAGTCAATTCCTATGCTGATTCCTCTGGTGGAATATATATATATGTATATATATGTATACACACACATATATCTATATATGATGAGAAAGAACATGAAAACAAATATAAGGATTAACTGTGTGAACTTGAGAGATCATTTAACTTCTCTGGGTTTTAAGTGCTGTCTCTGTGAAGCAGTCATGAACAAGAAGGGCTTGGCTGGAATCGATGTCCATTCAAAGCCCCACCAACCTGCAACTGCCCATTGGCTATTATGACCCAAGGCACACCATGGACTAATGATTGGTTCCATACTGCAAAGCAGGAGCCCAAGGTTTTCCTAAAAACAGTAATGTAACACAGTGCAATGCTGGCCTTTCTTCCAGTGCTTCTCTGCCCCTGTTCTGTGTGGATGTACTCTCACCAACCTTCTTCCCTCCCCCGCAGTCTTTGGAGTTCCAAATAACATGGCCTCCTGCTCCCAAACTCTGCAGCCGGGAATCAGCACCAGCTCCTCAGGTCAGTGCTTGCCAGCTTGAAAAAAATGGTTGCTCTTGCCTAGTGAGGGAAATGGAATGGTTTATGGGGAAGGTGCTCTTCCTGACCAAGAGCATGAGGACTTCCTCCGCACACACACGGCAGCGCAGAAGCCGTAACCAAGGAGCTGCATTAGAGGCACAGAGCCTGCCCTCCATCACAGACGCAGCTCAGCCCCCGAGGGAAAGGGGGCCAGAGGCTGCACTTAATGTGCTCATTCTGTGCCTGTCCCTTTATCTAGTAGGAGAGGAGGAGGGATGGAAGGAACTGGGCTAAGTGAGGCAGAGCTCAGGACATTTCTAGGTGGAAAGCATTGTTAATTTAGAAAGAGCTTAACCACATCTTAAATGCTGTAGTTCTTCGGGGGCTCAAACAATGTTACTGCTTTGCTTCCAATACAGATATATAATCTTTTTAAAGGATTTATTCACTCTATTTCCACATATATCATCATAGCCTATATGTAAATAACTTATCAGCCGATTTCTTTTGTTAAAGGAATCTGCCTTCTTTCTGTGGTGTCATGACTAATATCATATAGCGATGTAGGCCGTTTTTATTTTCCTTGGCCTTCTTAACTTCTGATTTCAACACCTCCAATTAACTAGTGTCCCACAAACCCATCAGATACCAGATTCAAGCTTTTTTCCTCTTGCCTTTGCTAGTTTACTCTGCAAAGTCCTAACTGAGGAGGGTGGGTTGACGTTGGATTTTGTGCCCCAAACTCCAGATAGGATGGAATACAAGAAGCTGTTAACTAGGGAGGAATGAGCTTCTACATTGTTAAAAACAGACAACCAACCAGCCTTTGAAATACTACTGGGAGTGAGGGGACTTCTACGTGCTTGAGTCAGAAGGAAAAATAAGGTCCTGCCCTGTTAGTGCCTCAGCCATTGTGTCTGGATCTGCAGTTCCCGTGCTGTATACCAAGGCACCCTAAGGTCCTGCAGAGAAGGGAACCCCTGGGATATTTGAAATTTTTGAAGCATACAGCAACATCTGTATTGCTGTATTTTGCAACCTATGCAAATTACTACTGTTAAGTTGTGTGGACCTAAGTTGCTCAATAAACGGAGCTTAGGAATTTGCAACCTATGCAAATTACTACTATTAAGTTGTGTGGACCTAAGTTGCTCAATAAACGGAGCTTAAGAATTTTCTGGGTGGGGCAGTGGGGGGAAGAAGCAGTGTTTAAAAAATTACCATGTCATTAAGAGCGTGGGAACTGAGAAGGTTCAGAATCTCTGTCATATGCAAGTGCATTCATCGTGAAAGTGGTTTAGAGGGTTCCTGGGACTGGCTGCCTTACTTAGAGGGCCTCGTCTATGTATCTGCTCTCACCTGTCCTCAATTCCTCTCAGTGTTCGGCATGCAGAACAATCTGGCCCCCAGCTCATCCACCCTGTCCCACGGCATGGCCACCACTTCCACAGGTGTGTAATTGGGGTTTGGAGCCTAGGAGCTGGGAAGCAACACCTCTTTGCAGCTATAGCTCACAATAGCCCTTTTCAGCAATGGAATTAGAGGGACCAAAATGTCCCTAAAAGCCAACTGAGTTTTCCCACCAAAGAAACAACCCTCCATACACTGACCAGAGATGCCAATCTCAGTCAAGTTCTGGCTCAGACACGAGTGAGCGCCTTGCTGGGGGTGTGTCCTCTATGTCCCCATGTCTCACCACTGTCCTTAACTGCCCACTGTCACTGCATATCAATCATTTGGCTGACTTTATAGTGCACCCCTCTGCAAACCTGGGGGAGGCAGGACAGAAGAGGCACGAGCCTCAGGCTTTACCCTCAACTTGCTTACTGTTTAGTTGGAGGGCTTCTCTGGTGGCTCAGATGGTAAAGAATTTGCCTGCAGTGTGGGAGGCCTGGGTTCAATCCCTGGGTCAGGAAGATCCCCTGAAGAAAGGAATGGCCATCCACTCCAGTATTCTTGCCTGGAAAGTCTCATGGACAGAGGAGCCTGGCAGGTTACAGTCCAGGGGGTCGCAAAGAGTGAACGTCTCATGCATATGAAACATCTGGGGGATCCTGTAAGAGAGCATGAATCAAGCTGTGCTGAGCAGGTGTTGGTACTATAGGAGTTCCGAAGGGAAGTAGTTGTGGGGTGGGGGGAGGTGTAGGACAACTTCATGGAGGAGGTGGCCTTTGGAACAATCCTCCAAGGATGAGGATTATATCATACAAAGTTTCATCTAAGTTTTGTTGTCCCCATGGCTAGAGAGAGTGGATTTCATGATTCAGTATTTTTCTGTTCACTATTATTGTTCACTATTATCTTCCTCTCCCCTGGGGAGGCTGCCTGTCTTCCAGGGCAGGTCAGCTGCTTCTACACAGCGTGGAGCTGCCTCCTGTGCCCCACTCATTCAGTGGTTCTTGTCTTGCAGCATATGGTGTGAAGAAAAACATGCCCCAGAGTCCCACTGTTGTGAGCACTGGGGTGTCCACTTCTGCAGGTAAGTGCTGTCGCCAGCTGCCAGAGGCAGGCCAGCACACAGGAAAGTCTGTTTCTTAGTTACATGTGGCAGGAGGGGACATAACCCATGGGTGGTCTGAGGTCTACAAAGGGGACTTAGCCAAGGGCCTCCTGGTTATTTCCAGGAGTGAGCAGCTGGGTGTGCCTCTCACCTTACCTTGGCCTTCCTGTCCAAGGGGGCCATGAAGCTTCACCCTCCACACCTGCCCAAGGTCAGGCCCACATAGCCCAGCCCCCACCCTTGTTGGAAGCCCCATCACAAGGACTAGGGTGCCCCCCAGAAGCTGCCACACCCTCCCTACTTTCTGTGGCATCTTTATCAACTCGGGCACATGACACATGATAGCCTGTTTTCTCCGCTGCTCTGATCCTGGTGTATTTCCCTCCATTCAACAAGTTATCCATCCAAAACCTGTTTACTGAGTACCTGCTTTGTGTGAGACAGTGTTCTGAGCGCCTGGTTTAGACACAGGGGCTTCCCAGGTGGCTCAGTGGTAAAGAACCCACCTGCCAACGCAGGGGATAAGGATTCTATCCCTGGGTCAGGAAGATCCCCTGAAGGAGGAAATGGCAACCCGCTCCAGTATTCTTGTCTAGAAAATTTCATCGCAGAGGAGCCTGGTGGGCTATATAGTCCATGTGGTTGCAAAGAGTCTGACACAACTCAAGAACTGAACAGGCACGCACTATGCAGACACAGACAAAGAGCCTAGATTCCCATTGTCAGCAGGCTGACAGTTCCAGTGGAGGAAGCTGATAACAGACAAATGGACAAAGTATACAAGATAATTACAGAAAATGACACGTAGTTGAAGGACAGACGTAGTGAGATGGTAGAGACAGGGATGTGTGCATGTTGGATGCGGTGGTCGGGAAAAGCTCCCCCAGCATGCAAACACTTGAGACTTTCTGTTAGAAATGAACCTACCCAGTTAATTTAAAAAGGGCCTACCTGGCATAGTAACTTTGACCCATTTACTGAAGATCCTATAGAGTCCGGGTGGGAGGCAGCCCCACAGGCCAGCCCCTAGTGCTTCTGATGTTGACCCAACCTCCTGATGGCCAGGCCCAGCCATGCAGAGACATGAAGATGTCTCTGGTCCCCAAGATGCTTCTTAGTAATGACTGTCAGCATCAGTGAGAGCAGGAGCCCCTCAGACACACCCACTTACCCCTTTCCTTTCCTCCACCCTCCTTTTCTTCTTCTCCTGGTTACTTCTTTTTCTTTCCCTCTACCTTTTCCATCCTCATCACCCACTTCTTTCCTCTCCAGCCAGCACCACAAATGTCCAGAATGATGACCTCTTGCACAAGGACTGTAAATTCCTGATCCTGGAGAAGGACAACACACCCTCCAAGAAGGAGATGGAGCTGCTGATCATGACCAAGGACAGCGGGAAGGTCTTTACAGCCTCCCCAGCCAGCGTCACTGCAAGTACGTGAGAGCCTGTGAGATGGATTTTGGAAGAAAGACAGTGTAGGCAAATGTCCTAGCAAGGTGATTTGAGACGTTTGAATGATGAAACCACAGTCATTCCATTCAAATGAAAACTGTCTATTGAGTAGTGTCCCAGGGTCTGCCTTGAATGCAGACAAGCTAGGAAAATTCCAGCAAAGAGCTCTCAAAAGAGTCTTTGGGCAATAAGAAGTTACCTAACCCCAGGCCCAGACTGGGGGTGGTTAACCCCAGGAAAGCAGGGCCCTCTTCCTACCAGGCTAACCTCCACCTCTGCAAGCGGGAAAGGATATGGGTGGGGGAGCAGGGAGAGAAGATCCGGGATCATCATGGGTTGTGTGCACAGCTTCTTTTTCAGAGGACACCTTAAAAAAGGAAAAACAAGCTGCGTACACCGACACCTACCTAGTGTCAGAAGCTAACGGTAAGAGCAAATCTGATCGCTGTCCACTTTGGCCATTCCGTCTGTCATTGATCTGTCTTCTGAGACCTCAGACCTCAGCGTGTGGTCCTGACCAGTAGCATCATAAGACCCAGGAGCATGTTAGAAATGCAGAGTCCTGAGCTGTAACCCAGACTTGCGGTGTCAGAGGCTGCATTTTCCCAAACTCCCCTATTGATTTGTGTGTGCTTATCATGGAAGCAAAGACTTCCCCTGGCACATCTAAAGTCCACTGTGGCATTTTTTTCCCTCACCTTCACTAGTCCTCCCATGATTTTCAGAACTCAGAAAAAAAGCTTTGCAAACCACTTGCTAGCTTTTTTTTCTTCCCAAATACCTGTATTCTGTCCTGGATTACCATATTTCTTCACACAGTGGTTCCTGTGAATCTCTCGAAATCATGGATTTCAGGGAGCTCAGTAAAGAAAGAGAAAAGTTAAGCCACAGAACATTTTTTTTTTAATGCAAATGAAGTGAGCTACAATCCTCTCAAGGTCTAACACTAAGTCTTCTTCTACTTTTTTTTTTTTTCCGAGATACTTAAGTGTTTATTCTTTGATTATCTGAAGCTTGGTCTTCTAAATTAGCAGTTCCTTACATTTTAGGGGTGGAGGTGGGGTTGTGGAGCCAAAGGACCCTTTTCAGAACCTGGTGAAAGCTGTAAACACTTTTTCCAGAAAATCTCACACACGCCCACAAACTCAGTGGTCGTATAGCATCTGAGACTTGTGCTCAGCCCTTCTCCAGGCCCGTCTTTGCCTTTTTTTTCTTTCCAGCCCAGGTTAGGAACCTGTGTGCAAAGCCTTTTAACCAAGAAATCAAGAGTCATTTCTCACAAACACATTTATTGTTTGAATGCCATGGTCACCCCTAGTATGTCCTCCAAAAAATGTCTGGGCTTTCAGGTCACAAAAGTTTATTACAGTGTACTTTTGCCCACTGTGAGTTGTTTGCCAAGCCAAGTCTTCATCAACATAATTATTGCAGTATGAGATCGGTGAGGACTGAGTTAATGATGCTCCTGCACATGGCTGTTCCACGAGGTCCCTGGGGCACACCTATTTCAAGCCCCACAGCAGGTCCACGCACAGGCTGGACCGTCCTGTGGGCTCCTGCGGTTTAAGGGCTCAGTCAAAACAGTGACCTCGGTGCTGTCTTTCAGGGGATGTGAAGACTGTGTCCGCAAAGGGCAAGGGCGCCTCTGCAGGTGAGTAAGAACGACGGGTCCCACAGCAACAGGAGTGGAGGAGCTGGCGATGGTGACTGGACCAGATAACAGCCCCCTAGCCTGGAGCCAGAGCACACATGAACACCCCAGCTCTAGAGTTTCCCCAAAAGCCTTCAAAGGGAGTGGGGTGGAGAGCGGTGGAGGGGTTGGCTGGGGGCCAAAGCAGGGCTGCAGAAGGAGCTCAGCTCAGGAGACAAGCTCACAGGTCACAATGTGCCTGCGGGACGCCCACTGTCTGGGTGCCTACTGTCTGGGTGCCAACTATCTGATCCTGGACACGCCTTCAAGGTGACCCTAAGATCACACACATCTCCAGTCCCTTACACCTTCCTCACTTGCTCCCATCATCTTGTGAGAGAAGGAAATCAAGGAGTATCAGCCCACTTTAGATATTAAAAACAAAATACACTTTCACTGAAAAGAAATAAAAAGCCTCCTGGCCACCCGTTAGGTGCTGAGTATAGTTCTAGGCACTGTGAGGATTACAAAGAAAGAGCCTCGTGACCTGAGATGTGGAGATGGGGATTATTCAGATTTGGGCTTAATAAAATGCAGGAGGTTGTGGCAGATCCATGTTCATAATCAACACTTTTAACCCTGATGCTCTCTGCTACATCCTCTGCTAATTACGCTGCATGCCTTATCTCATTTATCATCCATTTCATGAAGAAAGGTCAACTTTGAACTCCATTTTCTAAAAAGAGGAACCAGAGAGTTTAAGGGACCTTCTCAGGCTCACACAGCTCAAGCCCAAGATTGTCAGACCTCTGCTCATGATCAGCCAGCACGGCTCCTTGTTTATTCCAGGAACCACAGGGACCTGCCTGCAAGCCCACTCACACTCACTCAGGGTCTGCAGGAAATCACCACAAGTCAGAGAATTTGGAGGGAAGGGGGCACGAGCCGCCGGCAGCCACCTTACCCTTTCCCTCTCTTCCACAGACATCCACGGCTACGACCACCGCCATGGTGGTGGAGGCGGTGGCGGCAGCAGCGGCGGTGCCCTTGGCAGTGGAGCCGCTGGTGGAGGGGGCAAGGGCTCGTGGGGGGCAGCGCCTGCCTGGTGCCCCTGCGGCTCCTGGTGCAGCTGGTGGAAGTGGCTACTGGGCCTGCTGCTCACCTGGCTACTGCTCCTGGGGCTGCTCTTCGGCCTCATCGCTCTGGGTACGTGTGGCAGGGCCCTGCTGCCTGTTCAGAAGGGCAGGAACCAGCAAGTATCCCAAGTGTCAGGTGCCAGGGGGCCCGAGATCATGGCTGCAGACCCCTTGTTCCTGAAGATGCGGAGGCTGGGGCCCCAGGAGGCCCCTGGTCAAGGTCCTGTGGCTGCTCCATTGCGGAGCTGGGACTCTAAGGCAGCTCCTGGTTCCCAGGGAACAAGGGCCCCATGCCAGTGGCATCCTGCTCCAAGCCCCTTGCTGCCCTTAATAATCAGGCCAGACCTTTCATAGCCTTTCTACTTTTCACATTCTGTTGACTCTCACACCAGCTCCCTTCGGAGACTTGAGGGCTAGCTCTGTCACCATGGCCAGGCTTCTTCAAGGCTCAGTTCCAGTTTTGAGTAACTCATCCTGCCGGTAGCCACAGCAGACTATCTCCCCAAAAATATTCCAGTAAAATGTCCCCGCAGCGTGAAGAAGCCACCACGGCCTCCAGAGCCCCCATTTCAGCCTCCCCTGGAGCACTAGGAAGGCACTGGCTGGCAGGCTCCTGTCCTGATGCTGTCTCTGTGTGTCTGTTCCAGCCGAGGAGGTGAGGAAGCTGAAGGCACGTGTGGATGAGCTGGAGAAAATGAGGGGCCGCTTGTCTTACAACGAGAAGATGGAGAGGAGCAGCCAGGATGCTGTCCAGGGGGTTGCGCCCAGGCTGGGGGAAGGTCTAGGAAAATCTGGGCTTGATGGCTACAATCAGGAGGACATCTGGCAATTCGTGAGGGCCAGGCTGATGACAGAACAGGAAAACGGTGAGCACATCACAGGGGGAAAGGTCAGCAGCTCCCAGTCCTGGCTCCTGTATATGGAGTGGTGCCTGTTTAGGGCAATCCCCAGCGCCCCTCACTCAGCTCTCTTGACAGCCCTGGGATGGAGGGAGGACCCATATTTGTATCCTATTTTATGGTTAGAAAAACTGGGAGCTGGGGAGCATTGTCCAACCTGCATACTTTAGAATCAGGTAGCTAGTCCTAGCCTGTTTCGTCCCACCATACCACTGATCCCCTTCAGGGGTGTGTGTGTTGTGCTTGTGTGGTTGTGACACAGAAAATGTGCAGCTAACTCCTGCTTTGCTGTCTCTTGTAGGAAATCTCCGAGGAAGCCCTGGGCCTAAAGGTATCACAGTGGATGGAGCCCTTTTCCTGCACTTGGACCCAAGTTTTCTGGGGGTGGGGAGTGGGGCGGGTATGGAAAACTTTTTTTTTTCCCCCAAATTGAAGGATGAGCAGTGGAAAGATCTTACAGAATCTGTTGGGAGGGCTGAGAACTGGCTCTACCGTCAGAATATCTTAGAATGGGAAGGGAGCTAAAGTGTCGTCTAAGAGAGGCGAATGATGAGCCCAAGAGACACCGATGGTGATGGAGAGGAAGCCATGCCACACGCCAGCTCACTATGAAATGTCGTTTACATGGGGTCCACTGACTTTTAGGAGAGAATGGCCCTTGGCTTCTCACCACATCTCACAGTTCTCATGTCTCTCTTATTTTAGGTGACATGGGAGTTCAAGGCCCTAAAGGTAAATAGAACAAAATTTTTACCTTAAATATTAGTGAGGGTTGACAGTTTAAAGCAATCAGCAAGTGCCAGAAAACACACTTCCCACCCTCCCTGGCCATCCCCGACTTGTGGTAGGATCGTGAATTGCAGAGCAGCCTGCAGACCCTCAGGCTTTTGGGGAAGGGACCAGGAGTGGGGGAAGTGGGGGCTTCCCGATAGAACCTCTGGGGCAGTCCTGTCGCTGGCCCAATCTCAGGGGTTCCCACAGCAAGGACCCTGAGGAGGCCTGTGGTCTGGATCAGCCCAGGTGGTTCCAAGGCCAGGGGTACACAGACCATTCTGAGAATCACTATTGGAGATGGCAGGGTCACCCCCTCTCTTCTCAGCTTCACCTCCCTTCTCAAGAGATCCCGGTGCAGGAATTGGGGTTCCTCTACTTGATGGCCTCCCAAGTTCAAGATTCCCTGCCCACTGGGTCACCACCTCTGCACTCCATTCCCCAAGGCTCCAGCTTGCAGGCTATGAACCCACCCTGACCATTGTCAACTAAAAAATACAGTCACAACCTGAAACTAGAGAGTTATTTTGTTTGGTTGGAATGTTTAGGACCCTGAGCCCGGAAAACAGCATGTCAGGATCTCTGAGAGAACTGCTCCGAGGGGGTGGTGGGTGTCAGGCTATATACAAGTTTGCAACAAAGGGAGCAGGCAGTTTGAACATCAAAGATCAGGTATTCAGTTAAGGAAGTGAGCATTCTATGTATGGAAGGATGGAAGCTTCTAGGCTCACCGAATTCATTTCTTTCATATGCACCTCAGCTATCTGGGGCCAATCCTGTTTCCTTGTTCACCTTGTTTCTTGCACATTCCCCCAGCTCGTCAGCAATCACCGTGGGGGTGGCAGCATCTGCTGGATCGCAGTTTTGGGCTTCCTCATTCACATTTGGAGGCCAGAAATCGCTGATGGCTGTGAAATTTCTTGTTCATTAATATAGGAGATATTTTCATTTCACACCATCATGCAGTCAAATCTGAATCACAGATAAACAGTAAATCATTCTTTACTAAAAGTATGTCCCAAATACTAAAAATTTATTCAGGGTTTATCTGCAATTCAGAGTTAACTGAGCGTCCCATATTGTAGTTTGGCCATCCTACCTGAATTCCACTGGAGGCTCCTTTAGGTGATCAGCCTGGGTCCTCTGCTTGACTTTTCTTTCTTTGTTCCCACAGGAGACCGAGGGTTCCCTGGAACTCCAGGTGTGTAGCCTCTGATGGTGCTGCTAGGGTTGCGGACCACTGGGTCCTGGCTCCTGGTATCTGGGAGGAAAGAAAGGCTGAGCTATTCTTGTGTGTCCACAGGTATCCCTGGGCCCTTGGGCCACCAAGGTCCAGAGGGACCAAAGGGACAGAAAGGCAACATGGGTAAGAACCATTTCTCTGTTCACTTATTCCCTCATTCATTCATTCATTCAGTAAATGTTTTTGTTAGGTACCTGCTCTGTGCCAGACCCTGTTTTAGGTGTTCGGGAGAGGGTGGTGAACAAAACAGAGAACCCCTGCCTACTTCTGGGTGCAGATAAACAATAGACATGATAGATAAATGAAGTATACAGAGGGAGGAAGTGACTGGTAAAATAGGAACATAGAGGCCAGTGGGTCTGGAAGGGCTGAAACGTCTGGAAGGATAATTGAAAATAAGGCTGGCAGGGAAGCCCTCACTGAGAAGGTCCCATTTAAGAAAAGATGTGAAGTGAGAGAGGGAGCCAGGCCTAAGATGATCCAGGGGAACCTTCCAGGCAGAGGGAGCAGATACAGGCCTGGGGCAAGGGTCTGGGAGCCTGGGGAGGAGTAGGAGGAGGAGGGTGTCGGGAGCCATCTAAGGAGGCCAAGAGTCAAGAGGGAGGGGCCTTGGAGACCTTGCAAGGATAAGGCTTTTATTCTCAGTGAGCTGAGAAGCTGTTTGCAGGTTGGGGCAGAAATGGGACACGATTAACTTGCATTTTCAAACTCTGGCTTATGCACTGAGTTTGGACTGCAGAGGAAAAGAAGTAGGGAGGTAGGTGTGGAGACTCCAGGCAGGTGTCCTGCCAGCAAGATGCTGCCTATCTGGTGACTAGCTGAGGTGGGCATTTCTGTCTTTAGGTGAGCCTGGCATGGAGGGGCCCATGGGCCAGAGAGGGCGAGAAGGCCCCATGGGACCTCGCGGTGAACCAGGGCCCCCTGGGTTTGGAGAGAAAGGAGACAGAGGTAAGAGGCAATTCCTTCACTGGGCAGACTGGCTGCATCCACACTTCCTCCTCACATGGTTCTCCCTCCCTTTCTCTTTCACTTGCCTTAGCCGAGCACCTGCTTTGAGCCAGGGTCTGTGCTGGATCCTGTGGTCTAAGAAGGGGGCATGGGCTGGGATGTGGGTTCAGGCCCAACGGATCTGAGACCACCAGCAGGTTGGGAAGTGTTTTCCACCTGCAAATGATACCACATGGGCTGAGTGGGCGACCGAAGTGGGGGGACGCTCTCAGAGTGCTTATTTCTCCCCAGGGGATGCCGGTAAACCGGGTGTTCAGGGCCCACCTGGTGTCCCAGGCTCTGTCGGTCCCAAAGGTAAGTCAAGTGCCCACACAGTGCCCAAGTGTGCCATGTCCAGGAGGGATCTCAGAGGTCCAGGCACTGGGATCCCCAACAGCCCTAATCCACAGCTCCAGGGTTGACAGGCCCAGAGAGGGTCCCCCTCCCCAGAAAAGAGTCCCTGGGTGTCAGGATTGGAGCTGTGTTTTTGGCAAATTTATTTATATTTGGCAAATTTTGGTGAATGTATTGTGGTGAATTTGGGGGTTATGCCTCCATTTCTGTTCAATGACCCTGTTATATGGCCCATAAGTGGGTGGATGGATCTGGAAATAAGAAGTCAGACAATTTCCTTGCCAGTCGGGGCCCGGAAGCAAACATTCGAGAGCAATCTGTCTGGATACACCAAGGGATAGGGCCTTCTCACAGTGCGATGTCCAACTGGTCCCCTCTCCTCCCTGCCCCTGCCTTAGCCCAAATGTTCGACCAGGAAGGAGCAGGGGATCTTTTGATCCTGGCAGCCGCAGCTTCCTCCCTAAGAAGGACTTCACACTGGGGTCACTCCTGGACCCGCCAACTCTGGGGTCCTGGTGCACACACGCAGCCTTCACCTGGGGTGTATGCCTCACCCCCTCCACGTGCCACTCTGCATGGGGTCAGTGTCCCGGCCTGTAACCAGCCCATCTGATCATTACTGTCCTGTTGTCCTCCTCAGGTTCCAGTGGTTCTCCTGGCCTGCAGGGTCCCCCAGGTCAGTGGCCTTCTTCTCAAAAATAGATGCTATTTCTGGGGCAAAGAGAGGGACGTTAAATGGAGAAACAAACATTTTTAAAGCCAAAGAAGCAATTCTAAAGAGAGCCTCCTGGAGACACAAAGCTCCCCTCTGCCTGTGTGCCACCTGTGGTTAAGGTCAGGTACAATGGGTCCCATGAAACTGTTCTTACTCAAATTGGGGCACCAGACCCTCCAGCGCTTCCAGCAGGCGGCTCCCATCCTGCTTTGATCTGAACGAAGCGCCTACCTTCCCTCATCCCTGTGGGATGCGCATGCTGGGCGTCTCGAGCTGCAGCCCACAGTATCCTGCAGTCCAGCGTCTCTGCCAGGGTCCCCACGAGGGGTTCTCATGCCTGGGCCTGGGAATCGCAGGCACCAGAAACCTAGTCCAGGATGAGGTAGTGGGAACATGGGAGGAGACCATGAACAGCAGCCCTTGACTTTTACCCCAGGGAGTGTGTTTGTCTGTGCATGTGTGTGCCTAGTAGGTATGTGTGTGTGGATGTATGCATGTACCCGTGTGCATGTCCATCCCTTCCAAAGCTGGGGACACTCATCCACCCATGTGGTTTCCTCTGTGTGCAGGCTCTATAGGTCCCCAAGGACTCCGAGGTGAAGTGGGACTCCCAGGTATCAAAGGTAAGCTGGGGGGAGGGGCTGGGGGGAGGGGCATTACCTTAGAGATGCAGTTCACTCAAGAAGGAGGTCTGGGGCACAGGGAGGGTCTGGTGGGCTCACCAACAGCCTGCTCAGGCCGACAGGTGTGTGAGGGGAAGGGGCAGTCAGGACGGTGGGGGAGCCTGACTTCTGACACAGATTCTGCCCCTTCTTGTTCATTCCACCAAGGCTTTTCACACTGAGGTGACCATTTCCTTTTCAGGTGACAAAGGACCCATGGGACCACCGGGACCCAAAGGTGTGTTGCTCCTGCTGCTGCTCGGACATCACCACAGCCTGGGAACCCAGAAGTGAATCCTGTCCCTGGGTCTTGATGACCAGACCCTAGGGCTGGGAGGGATCCGAGGCTCTAGTCCAGCCTCTCAGATAGCGCTGCTGAGGCACAGAGGAGAAACAGCACCAGCATCACAGTACTGTAGTCGGGTGGTCCTCGGAGTAGCGCGGACACAGCCCAGGGGCCTCTCCCCACTAGTCTGGACCCCCTGTTGCCCCCAGCAGCCACTGGTGAGACAGAAAGGCCTGGGTCAGTTTGTGGGTGGGCCCTGACCCAGGAGAAATCTATCTAGCTTGCTTTCTGGGTCTTTGTTAATGCTGAGTTCTCACCAACATTCAGCAGATAGCAGCTTCCAGATACTGTGGGAACTGTTCTGCAGCCAGGGTCCCTCTTGCTGAGTGAGATTCTTTTCCTTGCTCCTGACTGATGCTACTTTTCTCTACCCCTGCCCCTCACCCCATGCTTATTTCAGGCGACCAGGGTGAGAAAGGACCCCGAGGCCTCACAGGTCAGTCCCACACAGGAATCTACTGTCAATCTAAAGACTTTTTATAACTCCATTGGATGCTGTAAGTGGGGGAAAAAATACAGAAGCATCAGAGAGAATCTCTGTCTAAAAACCTTCAGAGGACTTGCAATCTAGAGTGGAGTATAAGCCAGCATCAGCAATATATGTTTGGAACAGAAAAGATAGTTTGTAATCGTCTCTGATTCTTTTGAAGAATTTAGTTGGAAAACTAAGTTCTTCCCAAAGTGGCAGACATTTTACACTACTCATATCCCTTTCTCCACTTACCTCCTGCCAACTTGCACAATTAAAAGGAAGTAGTACTAATGCTTTGGCCACAAGAGGTAGCTTTTTGTTGCTAAGGAAATGAGACTCATACACAGGCCCCTCCAGACCAGGTGTGGCCTCTGGGCCAGTCCATGCCTGCTGCTGGGGGTGGGAGGCCTGACTTTAGAATGAAAGCAGACACTGCGTCCCCAGCCTCCGGTTGACCTGCCAGGTTCCTCTGGTCGGAGAGGTGGCAGGCTTCGGGGTGTCTGGCAGGGTGGCATGGTCTATCATGGTCAAGCTTCTCCATCACCTAGTCCACTTCCTTTGCAGGCGAGCCCGGCTTGAAAGGTTTACCTGGTGCCGTGGGTGAGCCCGGGGCTAAAGGAGCGATGGGTGAGTGTCCCAAAGCAGCACGCACCATGGGTCTGCACCGCTGCCATCATCATCATGCCCTAGAGCTGAGATCCGTCTAGAGCTGTGTCTCCCATTGTCTAATCTGTCCACTCCCTGGCAGAGACTCCATTTACAGGCTGTTCCTGAATCTGGGCATCCTCTTGGGGCTCACATAGCTGCCACTGTCTCTGACAGTTTCTTACTGCTCTGAGGGTGGGGGGTCTTGGCAAGACATGGTCCATCCCCCTCCCCTGCCACCTTCCTCCGCCCCCCCCCCCACCCCCATTCCTACCTCCAAGGTACTCAGGCCCCTGGGGAGGACGGGGCAAGAGCTGAGGTTCTTCAGAACCTGCAGAATTCTAGGCACAGCTCTGATACTCCAGGGCTGGTCTCACAGCCAGATCGCAGGGTTCAGCCCTTGGGCTGACCCTTCCTGAGAGGCCTGTCAGCAAGGACAAGGAAGCTGGCCAAAGACCCCCCCCCAGCTGGCCACCCCAGGTGGCCAGGCATTTGGCAACATGTCCCAGAAGGGTTTAAGCCCCACTGATGGGGATGTGATGCCTTGATCTCATTCATTTTATGAACTATTAGGAAGTGCTGACAGAGTTCAGGATGCTGTGCTGGGCAATAAGATGCTTTACCTCCCTCGAGGGGAGATAAAGGTTCTGTGAGGTGATGAGGGCCATGAGAGGTACAGGGTGCTCTGAGGAAACAGCAGAGAGAGAGGCTTCTTCCAACCAGAAGGAGGGAGGAAGGGGCTTTTCAGATGGTTTGAAAAAGTAAAGAAGATTTTAACCCCATCAACTTAGAAAATTCCAGGCACAGGCAGCCATATGAGTGAGAAAAGGTAAAGAGGTGACAAAAAGCAAGAGCTGGTCCCAGATGGACATGACTTTAGACAGAGGTTAGGATGATGCCTACAGCAGAGGAGACAAGATCTTGGAGGGCCTTGATCTCTAGGCCGACACACATTAAGCATCTGGTGTGGGACATGCAGTGGGGGCCTTGGAAGAGTTCTCGGCAGGAAAAGAGGCATTAGGAGGAGAGGGCAGGGGAATACTGTGCCCAGCAGTGTGACAAGGACAGGGCTTCTTCCATGTCTCATGGCTGCAGGAGGGGCTGCAGGGGCTCCCCCTCCCCCCACCTAGGAGACAGCTTGCAAGGCGGTAGGGTGGTTGAGGGAGGAGTCCCAGGGTAGCTCCCAGAGTCACTGAAGAACTTTGATCTGCTTTCCCAGGACCCGCTGGCCCCGACGGACATCAAGGCCCAAGAGGTTGGTCAAGGAGCTGCTCTCCTCACTCCCAAGCCTCCCGTGCCTACCCCCTCCGAGCCCTGTCCACGTCCCAGCAGGCAGCCCCCAGCCCCCAATCACAATACCTGGGGGTGTATGTCACAGGGAGGTGTGCAAGGTCCGGGTCTCACTCTCTTCCTCCCTTTCGTCTGCTGGCAAGTTATTCAGTAGAACCCAAAGAGCCCCCAGCTCCCATGTGCGGGCCAGCCAGCTTGCCTAGAGGGAAAACTCTCCATGTGGCATTACTCTCTCTAGGGGAACAAGGTCTTCCAGGAATGCCGGGAACCCGGGGATTACCAGGACCTTCTGGGGACCCAGGGAAGCCAGGTAAAGAGTGGGAAGAGGGAGCTGGCCATGCTATGTGTGTGTGTGTGTATACCTTTCTGAGTCCATTTTCCTCCAGAAACTCATCAGGAAAATGCTGGCTTGAGCATAGTGACTGTGGGTCCTGACAGCCCAGTCACCAAGTCTGGCAACTCAGAAAAAAAGACCAACACCAAAAGCAAGGAGTTCTAGAAAGCGGCAAGGAATCTCTTAAAAATAGCGGTTTCTTGCCACTCAGTTCCTGGCTCCTCTGAGCCCTTCCCCTGCAGACCTCCTCAGGCCATACCCGGACAGTCACCGGTGGCTGCCAGTCTGGGAAAAGAAGATGCTGTTAGGGTTGCCACCAAAGGCCCAACAGGAGCAAGATCCCCAGAGCTGCAGGAGGAATAAATCAAAACAAGAAAGCCATGAGGGCAAATGGCAATCCTCAGGGGCCTGTGAGGAGCAGGGGGCCCCCTGGCTCCTCTCGGGGGTGCACGGATGGGGAGCACCCAGGAGATAGCCTAGGGGGCAGCATTAGAGTCAATGAGTGTGTGAATTTTCTGGGTTTGTAGCTCTCAGACACCAAAGGGTCTGAGTCCCCGAAAAAGCTAAGGACCATCCCCCAGTGGAGCAGTGGGTCAGAGAACTACTCCCGTCCAGGGTGACGAGGACCCTGGAGTCCGGCTGCCCCAAATATGGGATTCGTCTCCCTGCACCACTCCTGGGCTGAAGCAGGGGCTCCTCAGCCCTTCAACTCTCCTCTCATGTCTTTTGTTTTGCATAGGTCTCACTGGACCCCAAGGACCTCAGGGTGAGTCATTGGGTCACGCCCACCCCTGGCATTCAGCAGATGCTTCTCCAGTCACCAGAGTGTTTCCACTCCTCCCCTCACCCTCCAGCAAGAATGGGTTCAGGTCATTTTACTGAGTCTGAAGAAACACCTTAGGAAGGAAAAATACTCACAGAACAATCTAGAAAGGCATTCTGGAAGAGATGAGGTTAGATCACAAGCAAATTCTGTCTGCCTGAGCCTGGCCCCCTGTGGTGCAGGGACCCCCCCCCCCCCCCCAACACACACACTACCCCCGACCTCGAGAGGAGGCTCCAGGCTCAGAAGTCCCGTTAGCCGCACAGAGACCACATCCTCCATGGCGCAGCAGGAAGTGGGTGTCATGTCACGCAGAAGGGCCCAGCCCCTCTGGGACAGCCCCAGTGTCCAGTCTGTCTGATAGCTGGATAGTGTGCACCCACCTGGATCTGAGAAATTGTCACCACACCAGCCCCAACTCCTAGAGGAAATTAGGCAAAGATGTAAAATAAAATCAAACAACATCTCCCCCAACAGTTCAGCACACAGGGACTTGTTTCTAATGCTTTCTGGTAGAATTCAGGGGATGAACGCAAAAGGCAATGTTATCAGATATAGAATATATAGGAATATATCTGATATATCTAAGAGATGTATTCTCTTAGATATATCAGATATATTGCCCAGCCCCTACTCCCCGAGGCTGCGGGGGGCACATCACCCAGAGGGGCTGGGATCCCCTACAGCAGGGTCCAGGCACCTCTGCCTCCCTCCATCTCAGCTCTTGCCCCATTTCCTAGAGATGGAGAAGGGCTCAGAGCCAGAGGCTGCCTGAGGGGCCGCTGGGCCCAGGTGGAAGTCAGAGTCAGCTGGGCCTGCGGTTTCAGAGTGTGATTGCGGCCTTGCTGGGTGACCGAGTGCTAGGCGCCACCCCAGGGTGTCTGAGATTGCTGGCCCTTCAATATCCTGACTGACTTGTTTTCAATCACATCAGGAATTCCTGGTACCCCCGGCCGACCAGGAGTTAAAGGTAAGTGGTTTTGCAAACAAACTAGATAGTCATTAGTCATTTTTGCAGGAGGCCCCTCTCTGGCAAGAGCCTGGACCAACAGTGGCATCTAGTGGCTTCAGAGGAAGGCTGTGAGGCTGAGCAGCCGAGGATTCTTCTGATCAACTAAGCCCTGAATCCTCAAGCCCCACTCTGTTTCCCACAATCTAGAACCTCACTTTGGTGCCTGGGTTTCTCCAAGCCTTTGATGAAGGAGGATCTGGAAGGGTGCTGCCCCCACCCCTGAAAGCCTTTCCATCTCACCTCTAAAACACCCCGAGAGTGCTCCATCCCCTCACTTAGGCTGATCCCCCCATAGTGTGACTCTTCCCTGGGACAGGTTTTATAATCCACGTAGACATCAGTGTAACTGGGACATGGCCACCCCCTTTCTGAGAGGGGGCTTTCATTCAGGAGGGTCTCAGATCCTACTGAGAGGATGAAGCCAGAGTTCTGGGGGGAGCAGCCTCAGGACTGGACCCTTCCACGTAGGGCAACACTAGCATCCGCCCCCAGCCCTGAGCAGTGCAGGACAGGCATTGCTCAGGGACGGTCCTCTCCTTCTGTCCCTGTGAGTCTACCATCCTGATCCCTGACATTCCATAGAGCTGCCCTCTATCACTGTCACCTTGCGAGGATCTACTTTCCAGAAACTATTTCTAGCAACTGGCTGGGGGCAAGGAGCTCTTTCAGGCACATCCCGGGCAGACACATCTCCGGGCCCACAGATCTGCTCAGGGGGAGGCCTGGGATTCTCCAGGAGAGCCCCCTTGCCCTTCCCCAGGGGCTGTGGCTTTCTGTCCAGTGTGCACAAGAGGTAGACACTGTACCCAATACTGGACTGTGTTCCAACAAAAATAAGTACTTCCTCTTAGATTTGAGCCCCCAGGGGCTGGCAGGACACAAGCAGAGACCACCCCTCTGCTCCCCCAAAGGGGGAAATCAGCATCACTCCTCAGTGTGTGCATGACTGAATACCCACAGGCCTTGGGAAATGACAAGAACGTTCCAGTCAAGGACTTTTCCATCCTGTACTTCACTCTCTTGGTTCTCTAGAATCTGTGGGTCTCCAGTCCACAGAGATTCCTCATTGAGATGGCCTTGAGAAAGTATGAATCTCCCATCCCCTTCTTGGAAGTCATCCATGCACATTTGCCTTTTCAACCCTCTGAAACACAAGGCAGAGAAGACATCTGTTAACCTTTACATAATTTGGGATTCCTCAGACCACAGACTCCGCGCCCCCCTTAACTCTGCACGGCCCCTACCCTGTCCCAGGGAATTAGCCCCTGAGGAACGTGGGAACTAGACTTGACCCCGCAAGCTCACGACCTGTGCTCTTTGACCTCTCAGCACTCTTCCCACCTAAAGCAATTCCCAGTAAGAGCCTTCGATGCCTGTGGAGGGAGAAGATAGACTATGGGAGTGGGAATGACTCCTGAGTTGGCATATTCTGGCCTCATCAAAAGGCACACTCTCCAACACCCACCAGTGAAGCCCCTTTGCAGAGACCCAGCTTCTTCCAAAAACTATTGTGAGCCAAGAAGATTGATGCTCTGGCTTCCAGGGTCTCCAGGGCACAGACTGTTGCTCAATGCATCCTGCCTGTTTCCCTTCAGTTCATTCAGATGCCTTTAGCCTGAGGGTTAGAAGCCCAGGAGTGGGTCTTAAATGCAATCAGAAACCTTGAAAATGATTTATTGAACCACTAATTGATCCTGGGACTGACCACTCTCCTCTTCCTCCCCTCCCAGGTGAACCAGGAGCTCCAGGCAAGATCATGACTTCAGGTAGGCAGGCCCTGCAGAGGGTACTGGCAGAGGGTACTGGGCATCTGTCCTGGCTCTGTCTCCATACCCTCCACACCTGCAGGCTTGGTGCTTTGGGCGGAATGCAGTGCTGAGCTCTGCCAGTCAGAGGGAGGAGGGTGGGGGAATTTTAGAGGTTGTACTGGCCAAACCTGGCCCACAGCCCGGCCTGGCCCCTGTGCCTCAGAATGAAGAGAGTGGGGCTCAGCATTCAACGTGCCTTCTGTTTACAGAGGGATCATCGACCATCACTGTCCCAGGTCCCCCAGGACCTCCTGGAGCCATGGGACCTCCGGGACCTCCAGGAGCCCCAGGTCAGTCTATTTTCTTGCTTTGCCCCAAGTCAGCATCAGGCTTGCTGACGTTTGACTACAGTAGCGTTCAGTCAAATCTGAAACCTGGGTTGGAACCTGGGGAAGAATAGGAAGAGGCTGAGAAAGCCCCTCCCCAACAGCCTGGTGAGCCCTGATCACTCCCCAGCAAGTATCCCAAGCCCTGTATGTACTCTGCTTCCCTGGGTCCCCAGAGCACCACTGCAGGCTCCAGCAGGTAAATGATGTACTTAAGGCCACAAAGCTAAGAAGTAGCTGAGACAGGCTTCTGCCCAGGTTCCTCTGCCTTCAGATCCAGGATTTGACCTGTCAAGAGTCCGTCCTGCAATTGTTTCCTCTTGGAAAACAACTCCATAATATGCATCAGGGGCAACAAAAATGCTAGAAGTCTATTTGAAGTAAATATCCCTAAATTGTCCAACAATAATGAGATGGCTACAAAAATAGGAAGACTTAAAAGAAAGATGTTTAAAGAGGGGAATACTCGATAATGGGCTTCCCTGGTGACTCAGTCAATAAAGAATCCGCCTGCAATGTGGGAGACCTAGATTCGATCCCTGGGTTGGGAACATCCCTTGGAGAAGGAAATGGCAACCCACTCCAGTATTCTTGCCTGGAGAATCCCTGTGGTCAGAGGAGCCTTTCGGGCTATAGTCCATGGGGTCGCGAAGCGTCGGACACGACGGAGCGACTTAGCACAGCATACTCAATAATGTGTGCTCTGTAGTTGCAACTACATTTTTATAAGAAAAAATTGTTGGAAGGAAATAAAGCAAAATGCCTGTAAGTTAAAGGATTATGGGTGATACTTTTTCTATGTCTCTAAAATGCCTATTATTTTTTATATCTCTTTTTCTATCATTTTAAATGTCTACATGTAAATGAAATACATTATTTAACATGACTAGTGCAAGTATGGACCAGCCTTCCCTCCTGATAAACTCCAGTGACAGAGGGGACATTGTGGGTGTTTAGAAATCTCTAAATCATCAGAGGACAGTGTCAGAGTCCTGCCCATCCCAGGGGCCCCAGTGCCTGGCGGAGAATTTCTCACCAGAACAGATCACAGGGCTGGTCTCAAATTGCTTATTGCTTTCAAATAAGCAAGCTGACCACTTTGGGCCACTGTTCCATGCCTTGTGAGGAAGCTACTTATGCACCTAGGCACCTGCCTTTTCTTCAGTTCTTCTAGAACTCTGACCCTCAAGGCGTGGTAAAACCTATTCTTCCCCAACCCCATTTCCAGGCCCTGTGGTAAAACCTATTCTTCCCCAACCCCATTTCCAGGCCCTGTTGGTCCAGCTGGTCTCCCAGGACAGCAAGGTATGTGTCACTCTGAAAGAATGCATGACCATAGGCTGCGGGGAGAGCTTCCTTCTCAGGGTGGAAATGTGCCCATCTTTAAATGAAGTGAGAGAGGTGCATCCTGGTAAGGGAGGCAGGGGGATCCCCCTGGCTCATCACAAGGCCCTTACAAGGCCTCAGCAGCCAGAGGAGATACCTCTTCCCACTCCCTTCCTTGTTTCTGAGGAGGTAGGGGTCCCCTAGAAAGGGAGATTGAGGCTCCTGGATCAGTATTAAGCTCAGCAATTTTCACAGGCCTCAGGCTTCTTGTGACTGAATCCTGAGAATCAGGTCACTGTCCAGCAACTTAGCCAAATATCCAAACTGTATCCAAAATACTGTCTGGCTCCAGATTCTTAATTTCTTCTTGGGGTGTTTCTGGCTCCCAGCCAACACTCTGGCCCCACCCACACTTGACTCAGCTCTGCCCATCCTCAGCTCAGCCCCACACTGACAGATTGTTGAGAGCGGTGACCCCCAACTCTGTGTCCTCCCCACAGGCCCTCGAGGGGAGCCGGGCCTGGCTGGCGAATCATTCATGGGCAGCAGCAGCTCCATCTCTGAGGTCCTGTCCACCCGTGAGTACCACCGTGTTCTCTGGGACAGGTGACGCGGGGGTGGGAGTGGGGGAGACGGCTGTGCATGGGTGCCTGCGGCAGCTGCACCCATGAGTCATCGTGAGCCCCAGTGTAAGGATGGCTGGTTCCTCCAAGATGCAGAGCTAGCTGAGAGAGAAAACAGAGGGGCTTTATCAGCCATGGAGATGAGTCACAGAGGATGGCGCAGCTGTCAGAGAGGTTCTTCAGATTCCAGGAGGGCCAGGGTCACATGGGGTGTCTGCACCCAGCCCTGTGGGTGTGATGAGAGGAGCCCTGGACCTCTCCTCCCAAAACAGCCACAGGGGTCCCTGGGTTCTCAGCCCCAGACTCGGCCTGGCAGGGCTGACTCCTGGCTCCTCCTGTTGCCCATCCTTTAAACAGCCCAGACGGAGATGCTGTGGGCCCCCTCCTGGACACCTTAACAACAAAGACAGCGCCGGCCCTGGTCCGGCAGTCCCCACGTGCCTGCTGCTGTGCCCTGGTGTCCCACTGAGTCTGTGCAGGGCCCTGGTGACACAGGCCTTGGGCCTCTCATTTACAGCAGAGGGAACTGAGGCTGAAAGAGCTCAAGATCTTGCCCAAAGTCACAATCCAGCAGTGGTGAGGCAGGATTTGAACTCAGGCTATCTGACACTGAAGCCATGCTCCTACTCATCACTGCCACACCCGCATCAGCCACCAGGGAGCTCCACTCAGCCCCGCCCTGCTCAGGGCAAAAGACACCTCTAGCCGAGGTGTCTTGGAGGGTCCCAGGCCATGACCTAGTGTGGGGATGTGAGTAGAGTTGCTGATGATCCTGGTGAGGGGTAAGGCTGGCAGAGAGAACGGTCTCATGACAGCTTTTACTCATTTCTGGTTTCTTCTTTCCACAGAGGGTGTTGATTTACGAGGTCCCCCAGGCCCACCTGGCCCACCTGGGCCACCAGGTGAGCACCTCAGGGATCTTTGGAAGGTGGGAAATCTTGGGGACGGGGCAGGGGCACAAGGCACTTGGTGAGAAAGCAAGATCCTGGCTTCAGCATTGCCTCTTCCTTACCCTTTTCTACAAGACTATCCATTCCAGCCCCCCCGGGACCCCAAGGCCCAGCAGGTGAGAGCTGGGGTAGGTGGGAGACAATGGGACCAGAGCCCAGGCTGCTTCCCGGCTGGTTCTTAGAAAAGAGCTTCTCTGCTGCTTCTCCTCCTGGGAAGAGGGTTCCTGGCCACCTCTTGGCATTAAAAAGTCTCGGGTGGTTCTCTTTTCTAGGGGAAGGCTTGCCAGGCCCACCAGGCCCGCCAGGATCTCTCCTGACCAGCTCAGGTAATGCTGGGGAGTCAAATCACTCCTGTTCTCCACCTCAGCCCTGGCCCCGACCCAGCACATGCTGTGGTCATGGGCATGCGGTCTTCCTGACCTACTCTCCATGCTTCCTCCTTCTGACTTTCCACCATGGATGTGTTTGCATAAACACCATGCTACCTGCTGCATTGAAAGAGGGTGCTGATGTCAACCCAGCCACCCTGAGAGCCCCTGGTAGCCTAACCTGGGGGAGACAGCTGATCTATCCTTGGGGAGCTTCTGGGCTGACTGGAGAGACCTAGTTCCTGTCCTCAGGGCGTCCAGTTCTGATAAAGTAGGCAGGACGCATGCTCATGAGATAAGTGCTGACAGTAGAATATAGAAACATATGGAAATAAGTTTAGAGAAAACTTTAGCCCAGAACTTGTCCCTAGAAGAAAATTCATCCATCCATGTACCAGGCTGTTCATTCCTTCTTTACTTTTACATATTTTTCTATCCAACTTCTCGACCAACCATCTATCCATCCATTCGAGAAATGTTGATCGTCTACAGAATGACTGGTGCTGTTCTAGACGCTGATGCCTCACAAACATCATTGCATCCATACTCAAAACTGTTTGTTCCCTCAACAGAGACCTTCTTCTCTGGCCCTCCAGGCCCACCTGGGCCCCCAGGCCCCAAGGGAGATCAAGGTGAGAGCAGTGTTTTAGGGGGCCCGGGAGTCAGTGTGCCCCTGTTTGGCCTGCTGGTGGCCAGAGGAATTTGGACAAGGCTGGACGAGCCGAGGCAGGTCTTCATTCTCCTGCCACATCCCATTAGGAGTTCAGCAGCCTGGAGCAGGGGCGGGGGGTTGGTCAGAAGCTCTGCAAAGCATACCCGCCTCTGCCTTGTCCTGTTGGAGGAGAGGTGTGGAGAGCCCCAAGCCCTGCGTCTGCTCTGCGCCCAGAGCCCTGTACACCTCCCCCCCAACTCAGGCCCCTTGAAGTCGCAGCATCTGGCTGGGACATGTCTCACAACTGTCTGCTTTCTCCCCCAGGCCCCCCAGGCCCCCGAGGACACCAAGGTACAGGAGAACTGGCCTCAAACAATCCTAGGGGGCGGGGGCTGACCTTCCGAGATCCCTGAGCTTCTGGGGTTTGGTCCAAATGAGTGATCAGAGGGTGTCTGTGATTGAGAATTGCGTGCCTGCGTGTGCATGTGTGCACGTGTGTCTGTGCGGCAGCTCTAGGTACTGCCCGAGGGCCGGTGCCACCCCAGCCGTGTCGTGAGTCTTAGGGAGCCTCGGGAGGGAGGTGGTGTCTTCGGCTGGGGCATGAGGAGAGGGAGGCGGGCACAGCTGACTGTCCCCTCTCTGCTATGTCCCTCAGGCGAGCGAGGCCTCCCAGGGCTCTCAGGCTCAGGTAAGTGCTGAGCGCCGCCATCCCCACCACACCCCGACAGCTCTGCTGGAGCCTCTCCCACCCGCTGACTACACTGTGTTGTTGGCCTCCAGGCTCCAGTTCTCTTGGACTCAACCTGCAGGGACCACCAGGCCCACCTGGCCCTCAGGGACCCAAGGGTGACAAAGGTCAGTGAAGGCAGTGAAAGTGGGAACGAGGCTGGCTCCCAGAGCCTGAAGAGAGGGCAGGGAGTACTCGCTGGTACTCCAGCTGTGGGAGGAAGAAGAGGCTGAAGGAAGGAGAGCCTGGAGGGAGAAAGGGACCGGGTTGGAGGGATACAGTCCCTGCCCAAGGAAGCTGTGGTATCATTGCAGAAATGAGACTGAGAAACATGGGACAGTTGTTGAGTCACAAGCTGATATCGTGTGGTTGATCTTAACCAGGGGAGGCTTCCTGGAGGAGCTGATGCAAACAGCTTCTTGTTTTGGATTCCAGGTGATCCTGGAGTCCCAGGGGCTCCTGGCATTCCTAGTGGGCCCTCTCGAGGTAAGAACCCAAGGTGCCCAAAATTCTTCTCCCCATCTTCAAGCGAGGTTGTTTGTGCCAATAAGGGTATTAATTAACTAAATCATTCACTAATCCATGATTCAGTGTAAATGAGGTACTTTCCCTACATGCTAAATTCTGAACTGCCCCTAAAGAGGTTACAAGTTAGCAGGGGTGGGAGACAAGGATGCCTGCACGATAAAGATGACTAACAATGCCGATGACAGTGATGGCGAGAACAGAGATCGGGAGCTAGGGGTTCAGGGGCGAGGAGGGTTGTATGGGCAGTGCACATGTTGTCGAAGGAAAGGGAGGACTCAGCCTGGGAGAGCTCTTTGCCACTGTCCTGGTTCTCCTGAGAAAGACTCTCCCTCCTCAGACTGTGAAAGCACTGCCTGGGCTCCTTGGTTTGACCCCAGAGAGGACAGACCAACTCAGTGGTCTTCTCTCCTGCAGGGGGATCGTCGTCAAGCACCATGTTCATGCAGGGTCCACCAGGCCCACCAGGGCCCCCTGGGCCCCCAGGCTCCCTCAGCAGCTCTGGCCTGGAGATTCAGCAATACATCTCTGACTACATGCAGAGTGAGTGTCCCACATCTGAGTGGGGCAGCATGTGTGTGTATGTGTGTGTGTGTGTGTGCACAGGTGTGTGCTAGGAGTGCAGGTCCATGAGCTCCCTAACTCCCACCTTCTCACACCTGCCCATGCACATAGACTTGTACATGGACATAGAGCCCCAGTAGAGGCTCATATACCCACACACTTTTCCATGTGCACACACACACACACATACATTCACTCCCGTGCGCATGCCCCAGACCTCATCCCTGCGCACTCCATGGAGGTGAGGGCGTGATTTCCACACATATGGGCACCAGAGCTTGGTCAGATGTGTCACTGACTGGGGTCTTGCTGGCCCACAGCCCTCAAGAGCCACCTGGCCAAGCATGGACTCTGCATCAGTTTCTCCATCTGTAACAAGGGAAGTCCAGTCTCCCTGCTGGACCTGCCTTGGCCCACTCGTGGGTCAAGTGCTCAGGTCACCTCTTGGGGGGAGACACGCCCTCTTGGGGACTGGTTTGACTTGATTTCTTTGTTGGCAGGTGACAGTATCAGGTCTTATCTGTCTGGAGTTCAGGGTCCCCCAGGCCCACCTGGTCCCCCCGGGCCTGTCACCACCATCACCGGTGAGACTTTCGACTACTCAGAGCTGGCCAGCCTCGTCGTGAGCTACTTACAGAGTAAGCCTCTTGCCACCCCTGTGATGACAAGCCTCCTCCCAGGTCCGCAGTCATTCCTGGAGCCTCATCTCTTAATTTGCTGTTTGCTTTGCCCTTTTTGTGAATGTGATGTTCAGTGTTGAATTCATAATAATCAGGCTGCTGGATCTAGCTTCCAAAACGGTTTGTTCAGATTAAGAAAAATAGAAATTATAAATATCCTGTCAATGCCCCATTCATTCATATCCCCCCAAAGGAAGCAGCTGGGTGACCAGGCCTTTGATTCTGGAGTAACGAGGGCACTGCTTCAGTACCAGGGAAGCAGGTGACCCGGTTTCCCTCCCCACAGCTTCCGGGTACAGCATCAGCACATCCTCCACCTCCATCTCTTCTGAAGACATCCTGGCTGCGCTCCGGCGTGAGTTGCCTGAGGGGACAGCGGGGGGCGGGGGGCTGGAGGGTGCCCCTCTCTCCTGGCTGACTTATCAGGCACACTTGGCGGTCCCTCGGGACTTCGCTTCCAGCAGTCGGCTGGACAGAGGGTGTTGGAGCTCCCCTGAAGGATGAGTGTAGCAGGTGTCCCTTCAGCTACTGGCAGCTTGCCAATGTCCCAGCTCACACATCACTCAGGCCGGTCTGCAAGGAGGCCAAGCTGGCCGGTGGTCCATGGCACCTCTTCTGCTTTCAGGGGATGACGTGCGTCAGTATCTACGGCAGTACCTGATGCCGCAAGGAGCCGGTGGAGATTGGTTCCTCCAGTCTCTGGATTATGCAGAGCTGAGCAACCGCATCCTCAGCTACATGGCTAGTGAGTGTCTGCCTCCCCGGCAAGGCGGGCAGGAGGGCCTGGGTGGGCATGCAGGAGCTAGACATCCCTGACCCTCTCCCACTAGGCTGCACCCAACCCAGAGGAAGGGTGGTATTCAGAGCGGTTCAAACCTGTGCCCCAGAGCAAGTCACGAAGCCTGGCGAGGGAAGCCAGAGCGAGTGCCCCGGGCACCATTCTGCAAGGACTGTGCACACGACTCACATGCACACTTCTGTAGACACACGCCCACCTTTACATGCACGTACACATGCGCATGCCCAGCAGTAGAGAGCTGACCTGCATTCTTCTCCAGCCCCAGGGTCCCTCCTCGCGGTATCCTTACCCAGGATCTCACATCTGTGTCTCTGCCAGTCTCTCCCTACTGCCCCTCTCACCCCTTTCCCGGCCCCTACTTCTGTTCAAGTTGCTTCCATCTGGCTTCCTCTCTGACATGATGTTTCCACCCTCCCTTCCCTGCCTGACCTGCATCCATCACAACTTGGGATTTCGTTCCTCAGGCACTGGAGTCAGCATCGGGCTTCCTGGCCCCCCGGGGCCTCCAGGCTTGCCGGGCACATCCTATGAGGAGCTCCTCTCCTTGCTCCAAGGTAAGGCTGATCAGGGCCATCTGATCAAGTGCTTCAGGGTGGAGGGCAGAGACCCTCGGCCCAGGCCTAACTGATCCTTGCTCTTTCTTGGTGTCGCAGGGTCTGAATTCAGAGGTATTATTGGGCCCCCAGGTCCTCCTGGGCCCCCAGGGCTCCCAGGCAGTTCATGGTCCAGCATCAGCATGGAGAACCTCTCATCCTACCTGCAGAGTAAGGAGTGAGGAAGGCGAGATGCTCTCAGCCCTGCAAGGGGAGATGGGGTGGGGGGGAGTGGGAGGGCGGGACCATGCTCTGAAGTTGAAAGAGAGCTCGGGCCAGCAGGTGACCAGGTGCCCAGCCGAGAGCTCCGAGTCCCATAAGAGCTGGGGGAGGGGATGTGATGTGGGTCGAATGAGGCTTGGGACTGGGGGTGGAGGGAGCATTCACTCCGGAGGAAGCCAGGACACGTGTGTGCCGGTCTCCCTCTGCCTCCTTCTAGAGGGGCCCAGGCTGGGAATTCAGTGGTCCTAGCGATGGATTCCTGATCCTTCTTTTGTCTCTTGCTTCCTGCTCAGCTGCTGGCTTGTCATCCATCCCAGGCCCTCCTGGTCCCCCAGGCCCCCCAGGCCCTAGAGGGCCCCCAGGAATCTCAGGCGCTCTGGCGACATATGCAGCTGAAAACAGTGACAGCTTCAGGAGTGAGCTGATCAGCTATCTCACAAGTAGGTTCCCCTGACGTCCCTGTCCCTCCTCTGTCCCCTCCCAGTCCGGGCTTCTCTCTGTGAGGGCAACTGGGGTTTGAAGGCCTGGAGGCTGAACACCTTAGCCACCCCAGCAGGAGAAGTCCATCTTCTTCCCAGCCCACACTCCATTCGGTGCGAGTTCACATCCTGCTAAAGGGTGTCAAGAACCACGCCCCTTCCCCCAATTCCCACTTCCTCTCCCCCAGACCCGGCTCCCAGTAATGCCACTTCCTCCCCACAGGTCCTGATGTGCGCAGCTTCATCGTTGGCCCCCCGGGCCCCCCTGGGCCCCAGGGCCCCCCCGGGGACAGCCGCCTGGTGTCAACGGACAGCTCCTACAGCCGGAGTGGCAGCTCCTCCTCTTTCAGTCGGGACACCTCCTACAGCTCCTCCATGGGCATAGGAGGAGCCAGTGGAGGCTCCCTGGGTGAAGGGGGAGCCTTTGGCATGGACATGGGCCGAGGCTACGGGGCCGCGGCCGAGGGTGGCATGTATGGCGGCGATGGCAGATTCGGGGCTGGCTTTGTCGGAGGTCTGGATTACAACGAGCTGGCAGTTCGGGTGTCAGAGAGCTTGCAGCGTAAGTGGGGACACAAAGCCTCAGCGCTGTGGGGTTGGGAGCATGAGAGCACCTCCACACTCAGGACAGCAGTCCTGGCATCAGATGGGCGGGGTCTGAAGACAAGCTTAGTTCAAGCGGCCCAGTCAGTACTGCAACCTGTGCTGCAGGGACAGAGGAGCTGGGGGCCCTTTGTTTCCCCTTCTTACTTGTGCTTCTCAGGAGAGTCTATGACTATGGAGGGGGGCTGAGGGAAGGTTGTTGGCTAAGCCCTTTCCCCCTGTGGCTCACCAATACAACTACCTGTTGTAAAAGGCCTGTGATATAAGCCCTTAGAGGTGGAGACCTGCCCATCAACAGGGGAGACAAAAGTTGCAGGCTCTTTCCTCGCTGCTGCATAAGAGTCAAAACTGCACTGGGAGTTAGTCAGAGGGCCCTGTGCTCCCACCTTGAAGAGGGGCCAGTGGCCCCGGCTCCCCATGCCCACCACACTCTGCGTTTCACAGGTCAGGGTCTGCTCCAAGGGATGGCCTACACGGTGCAGGGCCCCCCAGGCCGGCCTGGGCCCCAGGGGCCCCCTGGCATCAGCAAGATCTTCTCCGCCTACAGCAATGTGACCGAGGACCTCATGGACTTTTTCCGAAGTAAGGGCAGCCCCCACTACCTTCCTGCACAGTCTCACAAACCAGAGTCCAAAGAAACCTCGTTAACACTTGAGATGCTAAAAAGCTGATAAATTCTAAACTTCGTTTTCCTGTTACAAGTCCAAACTCTACCACTATCGACAAATCACTTTACTTGCCAAGCTCCAGGGTGATCTCTAGTCTAAGGCCCGATTCTCCCCCTTGCAGCTTATGGAGCCATCCCAGGACCCCCTGGGCAGAAGGGAGAGATGGGCATCCCTGGACCCAAAGGTAAGTGGTGGCAGAAGCAGCCACCTGTGGAACTACCCCGCCCACCCCGTGGGAAGCAGCTCCCTTGCCAGTGCCATGGGGGGGTGTGCCCAGCTCCTCCTGTGGGGCGCAGCCCTGTACTGTGTCCCCACTTAGCCATGCCCCCCTGTCCTCCTAGGTGAGAGGGGCCCTGCTGGGCCACCAGGTCGGTCTGGGCCACCCGGCCCTCGAGGGCACAAGGGAGAAAAAGGAGACAAAGGTAAGGCTCACAGCTATAGTTTGGGTTTCTGGAGGACTGAGAGACAGGCCACATGTTCCACAGCAAGCCTGAAAATTTTAGACAAACGCCAGTTATTAAAGGAGACACTGCCAACAATGTCAATTGTGTAACAATCAAGTGAACCACGAGGGGGAAAGGAAGGAGGGTGTCAGTGCGAGGAGGAGAAGGAAAACCGGGCTGGTAATGAAATGGGGTAATCCATGTAAACCAATTGATAAGTCTTACAGAAGAGCTCTTCTTTCAAGCCAGTTTTGCAGTGGTCACAGTTGCTGTGATTACCCGAGAGAAAGTCCCCACAGACTGCACGACATTTTCTAACTTCCTGCTCACCGTCCCACTTCTAGGTGACCAAGTCTACACCGGGCGGAGGAGGAGGAGCATTGCCGTCAAGCCATAAGCAACCCATGGTGGAACAGCCCCCTGGACCAGTTCTTGCAGTGGCTTATGGCACTTATGTCAAGACCTCTCCAGAGGGTAAAAGCTGGATTAATGCCTTACCAACACAGCAAATAGTCAACTAGAACCCTTATCTTAGTCTGGGACAATGTGTATGTCTGCAGAATTCAGTCCAAGATACAGTCTGAGACAGCTTCACGGGGTGGACTCAGGAGTGGCCACTTGCAGTGTTGCAGGATGAGGCCGGTCTCCCTGTTGTCCATGCCCGAGCGCGTTGGCTTCTTTTAACACCAGCCTAGGAAAGCCAGATACATAAAAGCTGTTTCAGGAGCCCTTGAGCTTTTCTTTAAAGCCCAGAAACTGGAAGATGGGATTGGGGTACCACTCGAGGGGGCTGTTTTGGCTAACGCTACAGGGCTGTGCTCCCAGCTACTCCCTCTCCTCTTTACCCTGCATTCTCTAGTCGTGTCGTAACAAAAACAGCTGGTTGACTGAAAAAATTAAGAAATCTACTTCCTTTGAAGGCGGTGGCAGGGTTTCTACTAGTTATTTCTCACTGTGCATCACGTTTCCACTTACTTAGGAAGTTTGTTTGAGTGCAGCTATGCGGTCCCGTAGGTCCACACTAGAGCTGATATAGTATGTTACACTGAACTAGGTTGTGGCAGACAGGAAGAGAAGGGCAAAGAGGAAAGAAGGGGAGGGCAGGGAGAGCAGACTGCCTGACGGGGAAGCCAGCACCCCTGCTCTGCACTTAGGAAACGCGTGGGGGACTGGGTGCAGTTGGTTTGAAAGCACTTTTCAATGTCTATAAACATTTATGTGGTCTGTTAGATGAAGAGTCATTTCAATTGCAAAATCTCCAATTAAAGGGCTTTTTTCTTTTTTAACATTATGTTTTAATGTGATCTATCTAACCAAAAAATAAATAAATAAAGGGGGGGAGAAAGGGAAGGAGGAAAAGAAAATAGTTTTTGGTTTAATAAGTTTGACATTTTACTAATGAAAACTTACTATGCCTAATGAATGACTGCATCATGCCTTTTTCATATTTTAGTTTTACCTAGAGGCTTGACTTGATTTGTTTTTGTCATAGTAGCCTTAGAAGCTCAAGTATTCATAGCCCCATTAATGATTCTTATCTTGATTAACCAAACTTTTTTTTGAGTTTTGTCCTAGTTGAGACTTACCCATCCAAGCTATCCAAAAGTCTTCACAGAATCTGACACCCAAGAGAAATAGGGTAAAAGCCCCAAACTGCTAACTTCTCTGAACAGAACTCAGATGTGAGAGATGTCCTCAGCGGGATGGCAGCAGTGGGTTTTAGCCTCTTTTGTTTCATTAAAAAAAAAAAAAGTCAAGCATGAGTTCTGCAGTATGCAATGCTCCTGGGTTAGAAAATGACACACGGCACCTCCCTCCGGCCAAGCTGACCACTCGCCAGATGATGCTGCCTAATGTATACTGAATCTCACATGACATATTAGTGATGGAAAAAACAGGTTCTTTTTAGCAGAAATGAGTCATATGGTTTGTGAAATGTTTGAGAAAAATAATCTATTTCAAGGGAAAAAAAGAACATTAAAAGAGAGGTATATATATACACATATGTTGATGGAAATATTTTAAGCACCACTCAAAGGAGGGGATTGCTTGACAAAGACACCCCCTTCCAAGTTAGCAGTGAAAAGGACACTCGTGTGTGCTAAGTACAGACAGTCTGGAACAATGGTACCTCTGATTGTCCGGGTCAGATGATCTGGAGAACTGCAAGCTTTAAAATACAGTTAGGATTCTTAAAACTGCTACAAAACATTCTCACGCAGGACAATCTAGTTTCAAAGAGTCTCAATAAAAGACTGCTTCCCAAAGTAGATTAAGAAATAACTTTATTTTTCATTTGTCAATCCCGTGATTGAAAAGACATGTTGCTCCCAGACAAACAAGAGGCATTTTCTGAAACAAAATTCTGAAAAATGTAGCTTGTGGAGTTATTACACTGCAAATCAGAGAAGGATCACAAAAAGCTACAGCCAACATTTAACACTGGTATAACACTCTACCCCAAGCTGAGCAGCAGAAGTTTTAAAGCTATATCAAAACCATGTCAGCCATAGGGTAGCAACAAGAGTGGCATTAATTGTTGTGCCTTCAACTTAAAAAAAAAGCATTTAAAACATCCCATTTCCTATAAAAGATCATTTCCCAGAAAAGAATGGATTTATTCAATCAGAAGTCTATTAGAACTGGAACTAAAGAGCTCTCTGCCTCCACCTCAGTTTTACATTTTCCTTTAGTCAACAGTACCTCTAGCTAATCATTTGACAGAAATTGGCTTTTCAGAAGAGTCTTTGTCATTTAAGCACAGTGTGGAATGGGGAAAACTGTAGTTACAAGGGAACTAGGAGAGTACAAAAGGACAGTCACTTCTGAAACTCACTGACGCTCAAGAAATCAGAGGCCCTCTGTGACAGTGAGTCTCATATGCCTGAGAGCTTTGTGCTTGAGGAAACACTCCTTAGAGGTAGCTCTGGTTCTAGTTTATATTTAATTACAATTTGCTGTATCCTGTCACAGGGAAGTTTTAACATTTTCAGCAAGGTATGAGCACTCCAAATTTCCTCTTTACCCACCCTATAGCTTCCCCACAGAAAAGAGTAAGAAAAAGCTTAACTGACTCCATAGAGTTATAGCAGCTAATTCAGCAATTCACACCCACCCATGGCCTGACAGGACTAGGAAAGGCAACCTGGTGCAATGAGCTGCGTGAGCTAGACCTGCAGAAGGGCGGTGGCCAGCACGCCCGCAGCACGCAGGGACGGGGGAGGCTGAGGAACGACACGGCAGTACGGAGAACTGCTGTGACGCGCTTCCTAGCACATTCTGCCACAGCAACAAAACCATCAGATCAGGAATGGATTTGACTGTGCTCTTTGATTTCAAAGGTGTCTTTGCCTCTCCCCAACCTCCTATGTACACTTCATGCAAGAGAGAAAGACCACTCTTCTGTATGTGAATTCAGGGCCTAGCAGGGAGTGGGCAGGGATGGGCACAAATAGCACGGTCTACAACAAAACACTTTTTGAGAAGATTTATGTGACTCTAAGTATTAAAATGAAGGTTTTACCTGTACATATGTATCATTCTGTAGTCCTGCTCCCACACAAATATGGTCTGGTCATATTTGAAAGAGAACTTGAGTGTGAACAAGGAATCCAAAGGGTAATTCTACAGAGATGCAAAAGCTGCTAATAAACTTACCAGTGTCAATCCTTCTACTCTGAGCCTCTTTCCTTTATTCAATTCTCTGAATGTCAAGTTGAAAGGAATTAAAAAAACCCAAATATTCAGACCAAATTAACTATGGGCCAGAAGCTATTCATCACATAGGATATCACTTAAATGATACTGAAAAAATGTCTACTGCCTGAAGTATTAATTTTTAAAAAGTCAATATACTGAAAATCTCAAAGGAGGAAGTGGTATGAGAACCTTCTTCCTCTCCTTCAAATAAATCATTAAATACACTGGGTAACATTATACTGTCATTTCTATCATAACAATATAAACAATTTCCATCATCCTGAACATTATAAAGATATATATATATATATATATATATTTTAAAAGGCTTTCAAAACATTTTTCAGTCCAGCATTTGAGAATAAAGAATTAAAAGTTTTGTATACAGTAACACATTCATGTGATAAGTGTATGAATTTACAACCATACATAATATATATATGTATATATATTTATATAAAAAACAAACCTGGCCAGAAGTTAAGGCTACCTACAAAGTTGTCGAGTAAATAATGCTTGTCAAAACAATTACAAAATTAAAATCACATGCATTTTTAAATCATCTATAAACCACTGACAAAATAAGGTTTAGCATTCAAAGTTTTCAAATTAACTGTACGAAAGTGCTACAGCTATTTACATTTTCTTAACATGAATCAGTGTTCCCACAAAGTTGCATCTGCATTTTTCACCAGCCTCAACTGTAACATAACTAAAAACTGAAATTTCTACAATCTGGTACCTAGCACTCATTAATAGGCTGCAAATGGCAGGCAGCAAGCTTCATCTACAAATGTGCTGTCTCACAACCTAAAAATATGGTTTGTAATACTGTTTGACCTGACACGTGCTTGAAAATCTAACCCTCAAGAGGGACTAGTGAACATTTCATTAATAATTACACATATCAAGCAACCACAGGATAAAGGTTTCAGGACTTTCCCACTCAAATCAATTTGTAAATAATTTAAACATGGAACAAAACCAAACCAAAATATGAATGACTTTATCTCGAAACAATAAAAAGTCATTTCTGGTATTTGCCTAGATATTTTATTTAAATTCTTCCTTCAAAATTACTCTGAACAAATGCCTCTTTTGAGATTAATTTCAGAAAAATATATTCATAAATATAACTCAGAGCCTGCTGGCCTATGACAGAATTTTAAACAGAATTTACTAAGATGGGAGAAGCCATTTAACCAGCTCATTTATTACTTCAGGAAATAAGCTGAAATAGCTAAATCTATATTTTTTTAATTTGGTGAGTTTTATATGTTCAATTTGGACATCTAAAAGCTACCTTTTATTTTTTCATCTTTCCAACTTGTACTTTAGGATGAGAATTTCTATTAAATGGTAATATGAGCAAGGTTTAAAAAACAATAATGCTTAATGCTAAGAGTATTTTGTCCCTGTTGAATCAAAAGGAGGAAATGCTATTTTAGACTGAATTGAAATTTAGTGTTTTAGGCACTATTTTATATAATAAAGCTAGCACCCTTAATTATTAGTTTATGTCTAAACAAGTAATTATTTTAGACAAATTACTGAAATAATTTTTCTCTTTTAAAAGAGTCCAATGCTAACATTTAAAGATAATAGATTTATTTACTGAATCAATATATTTTGAACTCAAAATTTTTTCATGAAAGCTAATTCACCAAAAAATTATTCCAATTCTCCACAGTGTAGAGAGCTTCAATGATTGATTTCAGACATCACTGAGAAGTTAAGTCATGTAAAAAGATATTTACTAATACTTAAATGACATAACAGTTTTCTTTAAATAACTTTCAGGTAACAGTATCTAAATAACACGATTTTTAAGAGTATATACAAAAATCACCTTAGGGAATTACTGCAAGATGCTACTTTGCCAACATGGCCAGCATCTGTCTTAGTTCCTTTCCCTTCATCGTTACTAAACAAGTAAAACAAACAAAAAACACCTAGAAGGTGAGGCAGGTGATTGTCTTCGTGAGCTCTCTGATAGACTATGGCTAAAAACAAGAGAACAGAATGACGTACTTAAAGAGTCAAACCCAACCACAGCATGCTTCCCATTGTTATGATCCAGTGGAATGCAAGCTAGGAATAGGGTAGAATTTGGAAATCCGGCTCTGTGTCGATGGGTTAAGGCATTCAGACTCCCCGGTCATTTTAAAGAACACTTCCTGTTCCTGTAGTTTCCTAGCAAACTCTTCTTCCAGGGTCTTAAAAAGGAAGGGAAAAAGAAATTATGCACTAGTATTATGAATAGAATTTACTCTGAAACAGTCAAGATAAAATTATTTGCCCCAAAGTCTTTGTATGTTATCCTAACAAAGAAGACACTGTTCAACAGCTAGGAGCAGCTGCGCAGCTCTGGGTTCAAGTCTCGGCTCAGCCACACGAGACTTCAGTTACTCCTCTGTATTACAGAACGAGACTTCAGTTACTCCTCTGTATTACAGAACCACTTCCTTCTTCTGCTGTGAGACAGTGGTAACACCATCCACCTCACTGGGTTGTTATGTGAGGATTAAATGTGTTAATAATGTGCTTAACTCACATTAGGCACTCAACAGATGGCATCTATTATTAACTACTATCTGTCTCTTCCACGTGGAACTTCAGCATTTTCTACTTTTTATTTTGATTACTGATATGCATGTCTTCTCTTCCACACTGAACCACAGACTGAAGGTAAGACCTAAGCCAGATGCATCTCCACACACAGCATGGAACAACTATATTAAGTACTTGCTAAGTATCTGAGGGTATCAGTTACTCTGTGGACAGGTGACTCAGGAGGAGTCCTGCTGCAGAAAACAAAGTACAGGAAGAAATGGAAGGACACGGGAAAGTCTCTCAGAAGAGGAGAACCGTGAGCTTAGTTTCAGTGGGAAGGTAAGAATCTGACAGACAGGATGGGGAAGACACCCAGGGAGAATGAGCTGAAACAATGCAGAGGCAGGAAACTGGAGCTGCTGTGAGTAACGGTGATTACACCCAGTACTGGATCAGGAGCTGGGAACTAAGCGGTGAGTGGGAGACAAGTCAGAGGGCTGAGGTGGCCCAAGTGTGGCACCGTGGAGGCTTCAGAGTCCAAGTCAGGTATTTATATTCTGTTCTGATGAAACTAAAGATTTACCAGCACCACTATGACAGCATCAGAGATGCTCCTGAGGATAAACACTGGTGACGGCAGGCAAAGAAGAAGAGAGGAAAGGGAACAAGAGACCAGACGGGCCATTAAGACATTACTAACAATTTTAAGAAGGAAGACAGCAAAGGGAAAGAAAGATGATGAAATGAGAGTCCAAATTATTCGTTATCTGACTGATGTGGGGTCTGATGGGAATGAAAGATAATTCAGGTTTCTAGCCTAGATGTCAGTTAAGAGAACAGGAATACTGCAAAGAACACCTGAAGGTAGGTAGGACTGGAGAGAGGGGAAAGGTGAGATAGAGGTGAACGAAAAGAGTTACTGAGTTTAGTTTTACCTCCACTGAATTTACAATCTTTAGTCAACACTGAATAACGTTCAGCAGGCATGTACTCATCATTTACAATGTGCAGGAACTGTTCCAGAAGCTACGTAAGAGTGAACAAAGATATGATGCCCCTGCCCTCCAGAGCTACGTTCTGGTCAGAGAAGACAAACAATAAAGACAAATGTCTGGTGTTGATAAATACCATGAAGAAAAACAAAGAACGGTGAGGGGACACAGGAGTGCTCAAGGTGGGCGCTAAAGCTATTTTATACAGTGTCATCAAAAAAAGAAACCTCTGATGAGATGATAACGGAACAGAAAGAATAAAATGAGGAGGAATGGGACATTCAGATGGGACATGGGAACTGGGAGCATGAACCAATAATAAAAACAATAAAATTATAGCAATAGCAAACATTCACTGGATCCTGACCAAATCTTAAGTACTGTACAAGAACTGACAAGTACTGTACACACATAGCTTCTATTTACTGTCTTAACACCACCAATTACGGAGGCAGTAATATCCTCATTTTACACATGAGGAAAACAGGGCTCAGAAGTGTTGAGAAGAAATTAATCAGTGTCAGCATTGAGACTTGAACCCAGACTTGTATCACTTTAGAATTTGTATTCTATACAAGTTTTGGAATTGTCCTTAAATATGCAATAGCTGAAGCCAGGACAATCTATAAGGTCATCATGCAAAGAGCAGAGGTAAGAATGCAAAATGGGAAATGTGTACCTTTCAAGTGACTGGATGACAAAGAAAAGTGACCAAAAAAAAGCACAGAGAAAGAAGAGACTATGTCACAAAAGTCAGGTGAGAACTTTTAAGAATAACAGGTGGATAATGCCACTGGACTGTGATCACTGTCAACCAGTTCAACTGGAGAGGAATTTAAAGCGAAAGCTAGACTTTAAACGGTGAAAGGAGGAACTGGAGAAGGGACTTCTCACTTTCATCCCTGTGTGTACCCTTTGAGTTCAGAAGCACATGAATGTACTACCTATTCAAAAATGTAACAATAAACAAAATCCAAGTTAAAAAGCCACACTATCAGCTGACTCGGTCAGTTTTAGAAAGTTTTATCAGCACATGATAGGAGCTAAATATTATTTCCTTGATTAACTGACTGGATGAATGGAAGAAAGGAATGGTTGAAATGTATAGCAGGCAGGAAGCCCAAGAGAAAATAAAGGTTTAAGTTTGAAAGCTAAGAATCATATAAGGAATAGAAAAGACAGAGTTCAAATGGTTGACCAGTTGGGGCAGGCTAGCAGGGAGTCAAGTGCACATAAGGAAGATGGCTGGCTGTGGGGTAGGAAGCCTTTCTTACTTTACTAGACTGTCAATGAACACAGCACCCAAGGGCCTTATAATCTGGCTCCAGTTCACCCATCCAGACTAAGCTGTCATCCTTTCCTTCTCTCCCTAATGCCTACACACAGGCACACACTCCCTCTCACCCTACCATGAAGGGAGCTACATATGATTCCTGTGCACCTCACTTTCACTCTTTCTCTTCTGTGTACTTAAACTGCCCCATCCCACTCCAATCGGTCTGTCCGCCCAGCAAGCGCTTGCTCATCCATCAAGCTTCGTTTGGCTCACAGGGCATCTCTTCTCTCACTCTTCCTGCCTTCCCCGGGCAGACGGACGTATTCCTCCTCTGTGGCTGGTACACTGTGCTACTCCACTCTGCACGTGCGCTTCCCTCCTTCAGAGAAACACTCCTACTGATCTGCAGCTGCGCGTCAACTAGATTCTGAACCTTTGGGGCCTGGACTCCTCATCTCTGTGTCTCCTGTCCCTGACACATACTAGGTAACGAGTCAACAGCCAGGAGGACGGCGGCATGGATGAATGCAAGTGTATTTTATTTAAAGCTTTTAAAAGTACCTTCTTCCTAGGTCTCAATTTCTCCCTCCATTCCTTTAATTCTTGGCTGTGTTCCTCATCTAACTCCTTTAGTTTCTGAGTCTCATGTTCAACCAAGAGGTGACATTTTTCATTCTGAAAAGAAAGTTTGAATTTAAAAAATTTCAGATCATGTTAGCAATTTTTCACAAATACAATTATCTTCCAAAATAAAAAAATATATATATTCAAACATAAAGCAATTACTGAGGTTGAAATTCTCTTCTAACAACCAAGGACCAAGAATTATGAAATGAGTCATAGTTACACTTTTGCAAGTTTAGAGGCTAGATCTGTTACTTACCATATAAAAAGAACTTGACTAGAAAGAACTAGTTTGATCCTGATTTTTCATTCTAAGGTTTGCTCACAAAACTGACACTTCAAAAGGCACCCTGCAAGCATTTTATCCAATGGTACCAGAACACAGGATCAGAAACTATTTTCTGCTCTAGAAAATTAAGCAAGTATACACGATATCCACAATGTATATACACTACTCTGAAATTGTAAACATTTTAGACATTATATATAAGGAGAAAATTTCTCATTTATCACTTTTTAAAAAAACCTTGAAGAAAATGAACTATTTATCCTGAAATAAAAAGAATTTTAAAATTCAGAACATAACAAAACAGTCTACACCATTTTCAAAACTTTGTTCATCTTCTTTGCAAAATATACTACAAATTCTCAATAGTACTTTTGAAAGATGCAACTTCTTATATCATAAATTAGCTTCATGTTTATACTAATCATGGCTATAGAAAATCTCAACAGGTGCCTGTGATACTAAACTGATCTTCCTTTGGGTCTACAGAGGAAAGAAAACCCTTAAGTCCTGGCATCTTCTCAAGCCACGTGCGGCTTACTGTGAGTACCTATCACCTCCTCAAAACCAGCCACCGGTGCTGCGTCTCTGCTACCAGCTCTGCTTTCTGGCTTCTGGAGCTGACCTGCAGCTGATGCAGCTCGCGAACGTTGGCTTCACACTGCAGCTGAAGATCCCGCATCTGATTTTCATGTTTTTGATGCTGAGCCATTCTCTCATTTTTCTGCCTCTTTTCTTCTTGAGAAGCAAACTATAAAAAAGAAAAACAAAAGATAAATATAGTTAATAGGCAATGTAATTTCTGCATCTTCCAAAGGTGTAATTAAGGAATTTAACAAAGCTTAAAGTACAATAAACTAAAGCTACAAGTAATAATACGCCAGGACTCAAAGCTGGAGTCTACATCATGGCTTTGGTGGGGGTAGGGAGGCGGGGAGAGATTTCTGATTCAAACCTTGTTTCTCCCATCTGCTTAGTGACCTCAGTTAATCTGTGTGTAGGAACTGTGCCTACAGAACTACAGTGAGGCTGTATGTTTGACTGTAAAGCTGGTCAAATCACCTTATTCCCAGGGCTGGTCTTAGGATCAACCTAGCCCTGGATCTTGTGTGGGGCATGGGAGACAGCAGCCCTCTGTGGCCAGCACTGGAGGAGAGTGAGCTAGGACACGCCGTATGTGTACAGAGCAATGGTGAACATCAACAAGCCCCAAGTGGCTCCAATGCTTACAACACAATTATGTGGGACTTCTAAAGACCATCCAAAACTTCTACACCTAAAAAAAGAAGAGAGCAATCTGCTTATTTACTTGTTTAATTTTGTCACGGTCCTGATCTGGCGTTGCTGTTGAGTTAATTCTCAAACTCTTCTTAAACATGGCCATTCGAGTCTTGGCTTCGCTACGCTGAATCTTAGGCAGTCTTGCTCTTTCTTGAGTCTGTCTGTTTTTCAACTCCTCAATAAGTCGTTGATTGTAACGCTGCATTTGTTCTGTTTCCTAAGAAAGTTTCAGAAACCAGTGATATAGACATAATTTAATACCCAGTACCCACAAGTATGCTCAAACATGTCATTTTGCTGTTGTTCCCCAAATTATCTTCTCCCTTGTTACATACTGATCAGCAAAGCATTAGGCAAAAAAAAAAAAAAAAAAAGGAAATTTATAAGAAAAATAAAGCTAATAGTAATAAGAGTCTTATGTTGACTCTCTTATACTAAATACAGGGAGTCCACATTTTTAAGATATCTGAATCATAAAAGGAGCCAAAATAGCTACCTTTGAGAGACAAGATGAAGACTATAATATGTAACAGGTCTTTAAGCACTGTTTATTAGTTACCTTTCTTGGAATCTGTAGAAAGGAAGTTTGTAATAATGATCAACATATAATTAATTACTCCAGATTTCATCAAAGAAATTTTAGGACAAAAGAAAGAAAGGATAAAACTTATTCTGTAAAAAACATAAGTTTCAAAAATAAACAGCTCTTCAAACTTTAAAATGAACAAAAAAGTGAACAAATTTCCTTTCATTAACCTTCTCATGTCGCTTAAGTAGCTGGTGTCTCTGCATAAAATACTGATCTTTGAGTTGCTGTTTGAGCAGCTGGTGTTTTTCTTGTAAGTGTCGTTCTTCAAGCTCCCAAATTGCAGCTTCTCGAGCTGGAAGGAGAAAGTAATTTTCAAAATGTCACTTTGCTCTTTTCACTAATGTACTCTGGTCCTTGTTTTAATATTTACATAAGTGTCCTAATACACTAATTAATACACACAGACATTCTGAGCTATAAAAGAAATATTATCAATGTAAAGATAATATCCGTAACCACTTCCCATTCTGTTCTAATGTCCTGAAAACAAAGAATGCCCCAGTCCCAACACTAAAATTCCATTTAATCATCTCAGTGAGAAAGAAAAAATACCCAAGGTATTTGTTTGAGGAAATAAGTGCTTAAAATTCCATTCTATCATGTAGCCATTTAAGTATACCATTACAGGGTATAAGGAGCACATAAAATTACTCTGGTGTATTTCTAGCATCACCTGGACAAAAAGATGTTTTAGAGATTATATGTTTACTTCACTTCTATTGTTCATTTCTATTGCCATAAAGGAATTCTATGTCTTGCAGTAGATCTGAATCTTATAAAATATTTTCCTCTTATTTACCTTTCTATTTTTCCCTCTACCACTCCAGCAAAAAAAAAGCATTCAAATAGTTTCCAAGGTATATCTCTGCAATGTTTCAAGACATATTATGTATATACATATGCCACATATTTCATATACCTCTCATGAGCTGTTGCTTGTTATTCAGGCACTCTCTTTCAATATTGGCTAACTCTGCCTTCTGCTGTTGGATGATCTTTTTCAGAGAGCCATCTAATTCTTGTTGTTGCTTCTGAACAAACTCTTGTTCCTAATAGACATAGTTAACCATCAGTTAGTAAGTATCTATAGAGCAAAACACCCATTTATCTATGCAGCTGTATTGTATCAGTGATTAACAAGATTTCTGAACCAAGTTTCTAAAGTTAACTAGGTTTAAAAATCACCAAAATTACACAGTATAGACATAAACATATTCATCACCCAAGACCAGAAAGGAAGTACTAGGGTATTTAATATTGTGAACTCACTACTAAGAATAATACATACAAAAGAAGTCTATATAAACTACTAATGATTAAAATGCCCAACTATGTTGACATCTTTGAGAAAAAAATAAATTTACACCTTCTAAAACTGACTATTCAATCCACTAGAGTGTGGCTACAATAAAAATGAAAAAGAATGACTTTTAGGAAGAGAGGCGATAAAGAACAAACAAGTAAAACAGGAGTTGGGACTTTTAAAGTCTCTGTTTTTCTATTAACCAGAGTTAGGAAGCAATACCATGGCTATACTAACAGAGAAAGACAGTTCCTGTATCTCCAGCCTGTGCCTTAAAAAGAGCCATACTTTAAGGACTTAGTGAGCAATAATGCATTGCTAGAGAAGCAAAAACTAGAAATAGGAAAGAGAGCTACATTTTAAAACTCTACAAACAAAATTCCTTATAATCAGAGAATTCCACCAACATGTTTGGGAGTCACTCATTCAACAAATATTTACTGAATACATATTATTTGCTCAAATGCCAAATTTATGCTTTTTTAAAAATCCCTCAATTACTATATAAGGAAAGGAAAGGTTAAAGGGACTTATGGTTGCTATGCTAGATTATACATTTGTGGATGGAACAGTAACAACACCCATATTGAAGAAATGCAAAATGTGCAAGTAACCAGTTGGATCTCTAGCACTCATTTCACAGTTCCGGTACCTTGTGATTAGCTCAAGGGATAGTCTTATCAATCTGAGTGTGGATTTAGAGATTTAGGGTTGAAGCAGCACTTCACCTATAATCCCTTCTATCATCTCTTTTATCGTACCTAAGAGATGATAAAATCTCAGGATTCATTTTGGAACCATTTTTCAGGCCTTGGACAGAGTCTGGCAGCATCTGGATCACTACCAGCCTGGTCTTCAATGCAGAGTGAGTTCTAGCAGTGTTCCTCAAGTTGCTTCTCTCACTACTGATTCTCTGGAAATAAGAATCAGGTCTCACCATCCATGACATACTGTTAATTTGTTGTCACAAATGCTGCTGTCTCATCTGCATTGTGATTTGTATTTTAGCATGAATACAAATGTATAGCAGCAGAAAGACTAGTCAACCATTTCTAAGTAGTACAACTGCCAGTAGAGTTTTGTATCAATTATGATCTTTCCTAGTGGGGACAAGAAATGTATTTATGTGTCATTAAAAAAAGACACAATGTACATTGTCAGTTTTGTAGATAAAATTAATGCTGAGCACATTTACACACAAAAAATTGCAAATGCCAATTTGACTACAGTCACATAACTTTATCACAGCAAAAAAAGAACTCAATGACTATTACAAGGCTAATTAGTTTTATTTAATAAGATTGCAAAATCTCCATCCTATTTTATAAGCAGTTGTAACAAAGTAAGTTGTTCAAGCTTCTCTTTTCTTATAGTAAATATCATTTATAATAAAAATTAAACTGATTCTCTAATTTCACTGTAAAATTTCTATATGTAAACTTGTTTAATAAACAATATAACCTGCAGATACATCAAAAATTGTTCAGTATTTTTATCATTAGTTTGCATAAATAACTTGTTGAGTTGCATGGGTCCAAATAAAGGTGGATTTTTCCACTACATATGTCCTAAACATCCTGTGGTTGGCTGACTGTGCAGATGTGGAACTGTGAAATGGAGGACCAACTGTAAAGTTATACATGAATGTTCGATTGTGTGGAGGGTCAGCACCCCAAAACCCAAATTGTTGAAGGGTCAACTGTATAAACCAGTGCCATTAAAAAAGTGAATGTGATTTCTTGTCAATGCAATTTTTGGTTATATTATTGTATTTGTCTAAAGTAAGAGTTCAGTTCAAAGAAAACCTTTTTCAAGCACTTAATAAATGCTGGGGTCTGTACTACTTACATGGCTACTAAAATCAATAGAAGACAGTAATCCCTTCAAGGAGCTTCCACTCTATTGATCCCAAATTGGTTTTATCTGTCAGTCCCTGTAAAGCGTAGTGGGCCCCTTCCCTCAGTAACATACTTTCAAAAGTTCCAAAGTAAACCACAGAGAACTCAAAGCAAGGAACAAAAGGATCCAGAAATGAAGATTCAAAGTGAATGACAGAGAACTGCAGAAGCATGCCCTGAAGTGGCCAGTATATGAGAGGGAAAAAAATAGCGAAGACTGTTATCTAGAAGCGGGCAGAGCTAGCACCATGCTCCTCCAGAAGATAAAATGAAGATCAACAGGTAAGAGTCAAGGCACATAAACTACGGAAGTGTTTCCTAATCCTCAGAGTTTCAAAGACACCAACTGCCTTGCTGAGCTATAGGCTTGAATAATTAAGCAGAGTGTGGATGACTACACAGCCAAAATATTTGCAACTGATTTTTTATATTAAAGCTTAAAAGTACCTAAAAGGGTCCCTTATTCATTAGGTATTCTTTATATTGATTTTAAATCTGGTTAAGATTTGACTTCCATCACAATTATCTGTCCTCTTTCTCAACACCAACATAGTTAACTCCTACTTATTAACATTACAGGTAGATTCTTTGCCATCTGAGCTACAGGAAAGATCAAAGGGTCCCTTACATGCTAATTAATATATTTTATTATCATAAAAGAAATGAAAATTTAGTATCACTGAGCTTTCATTCAAGTTCCTAACTTCAAAAGCCGAGTATAATACATTCACAGTGGAACCTGTAATTAGAAATTACTTAGGATCTAAAAGAAAAGTGATCTTACATTACAAAAAGACTGCATAAACTACATTCACTTTAATAAAATAACAACAGATCAATTCGATCACTAGGCATAACAATTTCAAAATGGACACATAAATTGTAAAATGAGTGCCCTTTAAATGTACAAGTTTTAATTCTGATACAGAATTTTGTTAGCCCAATAACTATAAACATTAAAAATACAGCTTTGGGTTCTAGGAAACGATAAGGAAAAATTATGATATGTGGGACTATTTGAATACAGAATTTGATCATTTTAACTTAAAACAAAAGTGTACAATGGTAATGATCAGAAAAGTGTTTGTAATTCACTAATTCCTCCCTCTCATCATAAAATAACATTTTGCTTACTCTTTTCGAAAACGATAAGAGTCCAATGGCTGTCAATAATAAAGATAAATAAGTAATTTCAGGAGAGGGGTAAGAAGGGGTTGAAATCAAGCTGTATTCTATCTACTCCAGTTGTGTATACCAAACATCACAAACAAAAATTATAGTGTTAAATAAGCTACTCATTTCCCTATAGAAACTGTGAGAAAGAATACAGCCTGGAATTCCACACTTAATTTAAAACTAAAACATGGAGAATAGCAACCCACTATTCATATGGGATGATTTGAATAATGAAAACTAAATGGAACTGAAATCACCACTTTTAACATGGCTTTTCTGACCATATCCATAATTAAAACATATACATAAACATATAAGCAATCAAAACGTCACTTCACACGAAGATAAAAATGTAATCACAGCATTCATTCAATTTCTCACATGTGCAAAAACACAGAAAAAACTATTGGAAAGACATTTCTTGAAAAAAGATGAAAATCTCAGATTAAAATCTGTGGTGGAGTAGACAGAAAAAAGAACACTATAGTAGAAGTGTTCTAGTTACAGCTCTACCACTAATCTCTTTCGCAACTTTAGGCAAATCACTTAGTCTTCTGTGCTTCGATTTCTTCATCTGTAAAATGGGTACATTCCACCCCCATATTAGGGGGTTGGCAGTGAGAATTAAATGTGAAAACTCTTCAAAGAATACTGTACTATAAAGTTCACGTCAGGTTATTGCTATTGACATTGTCATTTATCAATCTTCTAGATTTATAACAAGTGAAACTAACAGTGAAAAGGCACATGTGAGCCAAAGAAAAGCAGGTAAAACAGAAGGCACCCTCCGGTAAGGCACTGGGGACTTACGTCCTGCATTTGGGCGTTGACTGCACAAGATGACAACTGAAAAGACTGAATCATGACCTGAGCAACACCCTGCGGATCAGAATACAACGCGCCTCCCAGGTGAGAACAGAGCTGAATGACTTTGTAAATGCAAAGAATGATTATACAAATGCTGAGCTTCCTGAGGCCTGGAACTGGTCAGTTAACAAAAGGGCCTATAGAATGAAGGATTTGAACTAGATCAGTGGTTTCCAACCTCCAGTTTGCTGCTGTTGTTTTTTAAACCAGCTGAACTCTTTTAAAAAACTCGCCAAAAGAAATCTGTTTATAAAACAGATGAAAAGTGGTACTGCTCTGGAAGTAGGGGTACAGAGCTCTACTGTTCTCATTTCTGAAGAATTCTCAATGTGCTTCTTCCAAACTCAACAGCTCCTAGGAGTACAGTCTGAAAACCACTGGACTAGATTATCAAATAAATTCTAGTTTCATGTCTATATGGTTATTATGTATAGTCTTTAAAAAGTTTAAAATATTAGACTCTGTAAAGTTATCAAGTGTTAGCATCTTCATCAAAAGCAGTAGCTAAATATAAATACTTTTGAAATCAGTTAATTACTAAATTTGTCATTAAATTTACAGAAAGAAATTTACTACTGATTTTAGCTTTAGTCAAAAATACAGGCTAGCATCTCACACTATATGAAAAATCACCTACAAAGTCTTATTAAAGCACTGGATCACCCGATTCATTCAACACTAAATTCTTACTCTCGATTCTATAGAGTCTGATATATTGCCTTCTGGAATTAAACTCCATATCCCTTTATAAGGGAAAACCAAATTGTTGTTATCTGGTGTGAAATCTGAATTATCCAAAAATAGATGTGAGGCCAACAAGGACTTCCTCTTCAGCTATCAGTAAGACATGGCTAACAACCACTGAGAGAGTTCAGACTTGGCACAGATCAGGTGGCTTACATATGAGGCAGGATGACATGGTGGTTCAGTGTGTGGAGCATGGAGGCAAACCTGCCTAGATGAGAATTCCAGCTCCACCATTAACCAAATGAGTGAGCTTGGAGAGTCATTCAACCTCCTGTGTTTTCGTTCCCTCACCTGTCGAATGAGGGACATACGAGTAACTACCTCCTCTGTTGTGAGGTTACACGAGTTCATACAGGTGAAATCAGTCTGTGACTCACAGAAACCCTGTGTCTGCTAGTATCACCTTAACGACAGGCATGCCTTGGAGATACTGTAGGTTCAGCTCTAGTCCATGCAATAAAGTAAAACACACGAATTATTTGGTTTCCCAAATATGTAAGTTATGTTTATGCTATACTGTATTCTATTAAATAAAGTATGCAATAGCTTTGTCTGAAAAAAACAACATACATACCTGAATTAAAAAGTAGTTTATTGCTGAAAATGCTGACCACTACCTAACCCTTCAGTAAGTTGTAGTAGTAACATCAAAGATTTTAGATCAGAGATCACCATAACAAATATAATAAAAAAGTTTGAAATACTGTGAGCATTACCAAAAGGTAACACAGAGACACAAAGCAAGCAAATACTGTTGGAAAAATGATGCTGACAGACTTGCCTGATGCAGGGTTGCATTAACCTTCCATTTGTGGGGGGGCGGGGGGGACACAATACTGCAAAAGCACAAAGAAGCGAAGAACAATAAAAAGAGGTGTGCCTGTAGTAATTCCCATACTAGGCTAAGACCAAATTTTGACTCAAAGAAAGAAAAAAAAAACTAAATTTATTTAAATAGATGAGTTTTGTTAAAATTTTTAAATTCCAAGGTATTTTTCTTATTTTTCATGGTGTTAAAATAATTCCTTGTTTGAAAAGATGGTGACAAGTAAATGGCAGTTTCAAATAAACTGCCCTGACAAAAAAAAAATTTTAATGGCAACGCACTGGTCATGGTCCCCAAAGGTTTCTGTTGGTTTCTATATTCCTTTTCATGAATCTATAAAATTCAAAAGATTGGGAACCAACTTTTTAAATTACATAAAAACCCACATTAAAAAGGTAATTTTTAAAGCAACAAATAATAAATAATCCATGTCTCTTCTCCCTTTCATTAACATTTGTAACTACAAACTGAGCTCATTTCTCTCTCTGCCTCCAGGCTGAGTACAAACTTGATTAAAAGAAAGATGATCCCAAGTATAAAAGACCTCGTAGAGTAATGTGAGGTAATTCTAGAAAACTCTGTTGAAAATACCAATTTATCTAGTTTTGTAAAGAATTCACCCATTAACAGGTTCAGCCTTATCATAACCTAAAATCAAGTTTACTTAGGTGACAACTGTCTATTTTTGTAACTGCTAGATTCTGAATCAAAAAGAACATACTTAATATTTAAAATATGGTTTTAAGTAGCTTATATTGTTGAGTTTAATAGTAATAAATGTTTGATCTACCATTTAACATTATCATTTACCAGCTTGTGGAGTCTTATTTCCCTGACCAGAGATTGAACCCAGGCCATAGTAGTGAAAGCCCAGAATCCTAACCGCTAGGCCAACAGGGGATTCCCAAATTAATGGCCTTTTAATATGCATTCTTCTTGTACACACAAAGCTTATATACTCACCCTCTATATTTTTCTGTCCTAAAAGTCTTCTATCAAACACTGACATTACCACTTAAAAATGTAAGCTTCCATCACGATTCAAATAAGAATACAGTGGATTATACATTAACATACATTTATTTCATCTGCAGTCAGCTTTCCAAACATTTCACTTAGTTTCATATTAGCAACTTAAATGTCACCATTATTGTGAATTTAGTACTACATAAAGAATGCCCTGGGATCCTTTGAGGAGATGTCAACATCATATAATAAGTACAGAATTTACCCTTTTAACCATGGTTTATTGAGCTGTGAATAATGCCGCTTTCTGTTTTTAGTAGCATTAAGCTGCTGCTGTTACCTGAGCATGCTGGCTTTGTGCAAGCTCCTCTTTCCTGCGTTTCATGAGCTCTTTTCTCAGCTCTTTGGGTGCTCTCTCCACTTCATTTATAACCTACAGTGTATAAGCATGCAGGAGGTGGGGAAAAATACTTTCTCCACAGCAAGCATTTATGTGAGCAGACAAGCTACAAGTCAGATAAAGCTGTTAAAAAGTTCCTTTCAACATGCATTAGCACAGGTGTTAGTTTGAAGAAAAAGAATGAAAGGATAGAACATGCTTAATCATAGTGCAGAAAGGGACATTACACCATATAAAGGTTAATTAGCTGCTTAATTGTCCCTACATATCATTCTCTCTTTAGATTCAAAGGTGATCAGTAAAGAATTACTTGCAGCACTGATGCTGAACTAAAGGTGATAAACCCAACTGACCTTGAAAGATCATAAAATTATAGACATATCTATTGACATTATCTATTGACACTGTTTGATATACTGGATATAAAGAAAACTAACTCCATTCATTTATAAAACTGCAACATTTCATGATTGGCTTGATAAAACCAATGAGATAATTCTAAATGAAATCCACTTAATGAGAACAAAAGAAAAAACAATAGTAAGCCTTAGAATAACACAAAGGAGAAATAAATGGACACTGAGTTTTCTTTTTTTATAAAACACCATTTTATACATGGTGTAATAAAAATGAGCATATTTGACAACTTTGGGGTTAAATTAGAATAACATTCTCCTTTGCTGATCAATTAAGCCAAAATCAATTGTCAACTTCAAAATCTGTAATATAAGCCCTCAAAAAATAAGTTTAGTATGCTATGATTTATTATACCAGATAAAGTATATTATAAAATAAAGTGTATTTTAGAGCTCCTTCTTTTAATCACTTCAAAATCTGAGATGTGTATTCCACCTAAGAACAAATCTGTAATCCAACTATGAAAGACAATCATGTGTTTATAAGTAGAAGCACCAAAAGCAACCAGATTCCAAATCACCACATGCCATTTATGGTCTGTGAAAGAGACTGATTTTGATTTAACAAATGTATTTAAAATTTCCCATCAGTAATCTCTCATGAAACCAAATCACCATTAAAAAGAAGAGACTCCCCAAATGCAAGAAGTTTAGCAATAAGGAAAAAAATACATAATTATTTAAAATATGCATATCATGATCTCAAACACGTTCAATGGCTAAACCTCTCCTACTCCAAAACAGTAACAATAACTAGAAACATTTTTATCTCTAAAATTAAATCATATATTTACCTACAAAATTTTTAAAATTTAATCTGATATTAGAAAACAACCTTTTAATAAAAACTATCCATCTATCCATGGTTTCAAGAAATATTAACATTTGGTCTCAGTAAAGTCATACATCATGGTATATAAAGCAATCCTATATGAAATAAAATAAACAGTAACAAAACAGTAATTTTTAGAAATGGAAGCCACATCAAATGGTTATATACCATTTCACTCATCTTTACCTAGAGAAATCAAAGAATGTACTATTAATATTTGATTCTATCCTTTTAATAACCAGATCCTGAAGTTCAGCAATATGATATTGCATTTTCTGCATTTCATTTTTAAAATCAATGAATCTGAGTACTGGGGACATGCCAACAAAAGTGAAAATGTATTCACTAGTTTGGTTGATGTCAGTTTGCTCCAAAACTAATTAATCTGATCATAATATTGTCCAAGGGGTCTTTTATATCATTAAAAGATAAATTCTCCTCCTACACTAAAGGAACAGAATAAATTATAAAATTATCTCTCAAAACTGCTAATATGTAAAAGTTCTCTTAGTTTTATTTTAATTGGGGAAGAAAAAGACACACTAATACAATATGTAAATCCTCTTTCTGAAACAATGACAATCTTTCATAGTAAATAATACCATACAACAGATTCTATGACAATATGGAACAGTTTCAGGAAAAATGAAAAAATTCATTCTAGTCAAATGACTTTACAGGTATTTTCCACCTGTGATTCTTCAAAGTGTCTCACAATCTGATAAACCTGGAGATATTATTTCAAATTTCAGGTTATTCAGCTTTTGTTTGGACACAGTATCTGAGAAAGGTACTCAAGATAATCAGGAAAAAATAATTTTTAAGCATGAATTAAATACTGCAAATAAATATTAAGTTGAAATATTGTTGCCACCTGCAAATAGATCATAGCATGTTTTCTTGAAAAAACATCACTATGTCAGGGCTTAAATGCTGCATTAATAAAGGAGGAATGATAGGTTAAACGGAAAATGGATTAGACTCAATTTGAAGTCTTGATTCAAGGGTTAGCTGGATATTTAATGTGTGTTTGTGAACTTGAAAAGGTCATTAAAACCTTTTCTACTCCAGTTTTCTTGGCAGTAAAATTAGGTAACATCTGGCCTTACTGCTACCCTACATGACTGCTGGGAAGACTGAAAAAAAAAATGAATGAGTGCCACATAAATAACAAGTATTATTCTTTATTCCTTAAACACGTGTACACTGAAAAGGGTAGTTACACTTACCTCCTTCTTTCGGTTCTTTAACATATTCTGAAATTTGGACAACTCTTTTTCTTGTTCACCTTTAATGCGTTTGGCTTCATCTCGTAAGCGATTTGTGTGTTCCTGTTCTAGACGTTCAATAGTCTGTTTCTGCTGTTTTTCTAGATTTTCAATCTCCTGATCATATTGTCGTTTCTTGCTCTGTAAAATAATGTAGTCCGAGATCATTTAACATTAATGCTCATATCAACTTATTATACTGAAAATGTTTACTAAGAGCACATATTGATAACTGGCATTTAAACTTAATGATAAAATACGTACCCTCTGCAATACTGAACAAGTCAAATTCACTAAAATATGTTTTAAAATTTTCCAAAAAGATGAGCATTTTCATTTTTTTCTAATAAGGAAAATACTTTTTTCTATTATGTAAGTATAGAATACTCAAAAATTATATCCAGAAGAATATCCAATTGCTATGAAATACTAAAGTAAGAAAAATTTCAATATTTTTCCTATACGATTTCTGATAAATCAAAGGTCATATTTGAAGTCTATTTTAAAAACATACCATTACTTGTCATTTTCAGACTTACTCTTCCTCGTCAAGAGTCTTAAAATAAACATCCTATTTCACTGAAACAAACCTTTTAGAATTATAAAGCTATTCTCTCAACAAAAGATTCCTGTTTATATAATACTTGAATAACACTGCAATTTTAGACATAGGTACTTATTTGTAAACTGTTTTCTTTTGAAAAATTAAAAAGCAAAATATTTTGGAAAATACAGGGAGAGGAGAAACACAGTTTTTGTAAGGTCCTAAAAAAACAGAATATACTATAAAAATACTCAATGAAAACAAAAGCTCATTATTTCCTTAGGAATTCTCAGTTAGGACCCAACAAAAAAAATCAGCAATGCCAAACTTCACACAAAACAATCCTTACCACTTAAAATTATAAAACATAAGAACTATAATCAATCACGAATCCTGTAACATTTCAAATGATCCTTCTTTCTAACCTACATTAAGCTAGATGTTCAACCTAAGTTATTGAAATTTTATATCACGTTAACAATTCCTTTCCCAACTTTGGACACAAAGTAAAAATTTAAAGACTCAGTGACAATTACCCTTGACAAGTCAGCACTAACTTCTCTAGCAGCTGTGAAAAGCGATATGGAAGCTTAACCGCAGTAGCCAGAGAAGTAAGCATATTTTGAAAAATCCCCCAAGAAGTTCTAACACTCAACCAATTTTGAAGACAAGTGCTCTAGAGTAGCTTAAAATCTTGGATTCTGAGAGGTAAAATTTTAGCAATAAAAAGTTGTCCAGCTACAGAAATTTGCAAACCATCTATTAGCTTCATGATTCCAAGTCTTCATGACAGATCTTAATCAAGAAAAATGAAGATACCCAACACGCTGTAAGTCAGGCAAACAGCCAAAAACCGGAAGAAAAGAAACAGAAAGCATCTAGAACACCAAAGAGACAAAGGCCAAAAACATCACAAAGCCAGAGAAATCCAGTAAACGGAAAAAGTTCTAAAATCTTTCAGCAGTGAATCTTTTAAGCAGTAAATTTCTTTATGAACAAAATGGTACAAAATTCCAAGACTTTACCATCATCTCCTGCTCAAAACGTCGGAAAATTTGCTCTCGCTGTTGCTGCAGTTTGCCATTGAGCTGCTGTTGGGCTCTTTGTTCTTCTTTTTGAAGAAATCTTAATTCCCGGAGTTCCTGACGCCTGATAAAATTTAATAGTGACAATACAAAAAGAGGAGTAAAAATTACACCACTGAAGTAATGCTTTACAAGAAGAAACTGGAAAACTAACATTTTCTTCCAGCGGAAAAGTAATAAAACAGTAACGTAAAGCTAACCAAGACTACTAGTTGCTCTATTCTTCAGGCTCTGCAGAGACCTGAGAAGTCACAAAACTAGATGAAATCATGCTGTTTCTCTACTCACCTAAGAAACCTCAATTCTTCGGTTTTGGAGTCACTATCAGTAACTATCTTTGATGTTGTTACACTTACTTCTACACCATCAACAACAAATTTGCGTGTTTTCTTCAATGTTTTCTTTTGTCTTCTTGTTTCCTGAGGAAGATTTTATTTTAGTTAGGCGTTACATGGGGAATACTAGAGAAGGAAAACATATTCTTAAAAAAACAAAAACAAGAAACGGAACTAACTGCTATGAAGACTACACATACATATAGATTCAATGCAATCCCTATCAAGCTACCAACGGTATTCTTCACAGAACTAGAACAAATAATTTCACAATTTGTATGGAAATACAAAAAACCTCGAATAGCCAAAGTAATCCTGAGAAAGAAGAATGGAACTGGAGGAATCAACCTGCCTGACTTCAGGCTCTACTACAAAGCCACAGTCATCAAGACAGTATGGTACTGGCACAAAGACAGAAATATAGATCAATGGAACAGAATAGAAAGCCCAGAGATAAATCCACGAACCTATGGTCACCTTATCTTCGACAAAGGAGGCAAGGATATACAATGGAAAAAAGACAATCTCTTTAACAAGTGGTGCTGGGAAGACTGGTCAGCCACTTATAAAAGAATGAAACTAGAACACTTTCTAACACCATACACAAAAATAAACTCAAAATGTATTAAAGATCTAAACGTAAGACCAGAAACTATAAAACTCCTAGAGGAGAACATACGCAAAACTCTCTCTGACATAAATCACAGCAGGATCCTCTATGATCCACCTCCCAGAATATTGGAAATAAAAGCAAAAATAAACAAATGGGGCCTAATTAAACTTAAAAGCTTTTGCACAACAAACGAAACTATAAGCAAGGTGAAAAGACAGCCTTCAGAATGGGAGAAAATAGCAAACGAAGCAACAGACAAAGGATTAATCTCAAAAATATACAAGCAACTCCTGCAGCTCAATTCCAGAAAAATAAATGACCCAATCAAAAAATGGGCCAAAGAACTAAACAGACATTTCTCCAAAGAAGACATACAGATGGCTAACAAACACATGAAAACATGCTCCCCATCACTCATTATCAGAGAAATGCAAATCAAAACCACAATGAGGTACCATTACACGCCAGTCAGGCCTGCTGCTATCCAAAAGTCTACAAGCAATAAATGCTGGAGAGGGTGTGGAGAAAAGGGAACCCTCTTACACTGTTGATGGGAATGCAAACTAGTACAGCCGCTATGGAAAACAGTGTGGAGATTTCTTTAAAAACTGGAAATAGAACTGCCATATGACCTAGCAATCCCACTTCTGGGCATACACACCGAGGAAACCAGATCTGAAAGAGACACGTGCACCCCAATGTTTATCGCAGCACTGTTTATAATAGCCAGGACATGGAAGCAACCTAGATGCCCATCAGCAGATGAATGGATAAGGAAGCTATGGTACATATACACCATGGAATATTACGCAGCCATTAAAAAGAAGTCATCTGAATCAGTTCTAATGAGATGGACGAAACTGGAGCTCATTATACAGAGTGAAGTAAGCCAGAAAGATAGAGACGAATACAGTATACTAACGCATATATATGGAATTTAGAAAGATGGTAACGATAACCCTATATGCAAAACAGACAAAGAGACACAGATGTACAGAACAGACTTTTGGACTCTGTGGGAGAAGGCGAGGGTGGGATGTTCTGAGAGAATAGCATTGAAACAAGTATACTATCAAGGGTGAAACAGATCACCAACCCAGGTTGGATGCATGAGACAAGTGCTCAGGCCTGGTGCACTGGGAAGACCCAGAGGGATGGGGTGGGGAGGGAGGTGGGAGGGGCAATCAGGATGGGGAACACATGTAAATCCATGGCTGATGCATGTCAATGTATGGCAAAAACCACTACAATATTGTAAAGTAATTAGCCTCCAACTAATAAAAATAAATGGGGGAAAAAAAAAAAAGAAGACTACACATACAAAGCTGAACAGAAAGCAGTAAGACATCTCTTAAACCAACTATACCAAATACACCTCATCTGATTTTCACACTTTACAGATGAAATCAATCTTTTTTCAAATTAAATTATGCATTTTGACGATATGCATGTATAATTTTTATGATACCACATCACAATTAGGCACAAGCGGTAATGACCAATTCACAAAAATGAGTAATTAGCACAATCTTTACATGTTAACCATCCTTTCTTCCTCTTTTTACCTTATAGGTTCTCAGACACCTTTGTTTTTCTGTTTCAGAAACACTTACAAAGCCATTAAAAATGATTTTCTGGGGCACATCCCTCAAAAGAATCTAAATCAGCAAGTATCAAAAGGATGAGGCTTTTATTTTGAAAAGGCTCTCAGATAACCTTAAAACACTGCCACAACTGAGATTCAAAATTCATTTAATCAACAACAATAATATCACCAGCCGTCCTTCATTTCAGGGTCAGAGGTAGAGGAGTGATTTTAGAGTTACTAGAAAGACAGCACCTCCACTACACCACCCAAAGTACCAGATCTGCCAGCTAGCTACTGCCTGAAACTCTTTATCAAGATCAAACTCTTCATTCCTCAACTGGTATCCAAATGTTTTTTAAAGGCAAAGAGAAATAACAGAAGTATGTAACACTGCTATAAACACATCTTGGTACACATGTAAATACTGAGAACAGATAACTAAGTAATAACTTAGTAACTACTTAGTTGTGATAGGTGGAAATGGTTAGAAAGCAGAGGGATCAAAAGGAGAATGTGAAAATACTACATTTAAAAGGCATTAGAATTTTTAAGTTGGTCTTTGGTACTTTGCAGTCTTCACCCTCTTACTGTTCTACTCTCCACGTTTCCAGTATCTTCACACTGCTCTCCCCTAAGCTCTGGACTATGGCCACCCTATCCAGACATCTTCTAAAACCTAAAGTGGGCATGCTCCAAAATTAAGCTACCTCCTTGGAACCTCCAAATTTTCCATTTCTTCAGTTCCTACGCATCCACAATTAATGTCACCTTAATTCTCACAGAAATATTTGTGTTTTTTTTTTTTTTGGAAAGGCCAACTGTAACAATTAAGTCTATAAATGAACTTCAGAAAAGTGGAGTTTCAGGCACTGAAACAAAATAAACTGAAAACTGAAAACCATCTAGGCAATACATGTAGTAATAATCTGGGGCAGATAGGCAGGTAGATCAGTCATGCCTTGGACTCCTACCCTAAGGTCAGTTCTAAGTTCCTGCTTTTCTGCCACCTGTCAATCAGAGTCTCTAAGAGTCCATGGCTCACTTGTATCAGAATTCCATGGGATCTTTTGTTACAAACACTGATTTTCTGGCCTTACTCCATATTTCTACATAGCTCTCCCTAATGATTACCTTTTTAAGCACACTCAGATTGGGGAATTATGCTCTAACAGCTCCAAGTATTCTGGGTTTTAGTGTTTGGTTTGGTTTTCCCACAATGATTTACACGGCAGTAGAAATGGCTATGACTGAGAAGTTAAGAGTGGTCATCTGCATGGCCAGTAGTAAATCAAGGGATGTTTAAATCCTAAACATTCTTTAAAAGAGATCATTCTTATAAGCCCTCTATTCTTTCATATATTACTGATTTTTGCTAAAATTATACCAAGAGATATGCGGCAGGAAAACCCAAATTCCAGTAAGCAACTTATTATACTATTTATATAAGAGTTGGCAAAAATAGGTAGGTACTACCAAAAAATTTAACGATTACATCCACAATCTCTGGATGTAGTTTTTTTTTTAATTGATTGCTCTCATAGCCCTGAAGAATTTTACAGGGTTAATACTATGCTGATTTAGTGTTGGTTTGTTTGAAAGTCATTAGTTTTACATAAACTCTCAACTGCCAAAATGACAAAGAAAAATCCAAACAAGGACCCATATACACTTACTTGTAAAGATATTGATCCACTGTCTTTAGTTTTGCTTAGGAAGCTAGAGATGGAGAGATTCAAGTCAATGCTGCTATTATCAGCAGTGGAACCAGTGCCTGAATCAGTATCATTTTCCTTTTGATTCTCAGATTCTGGTAACATGGTTTCAGTTTTTGATAAAGCACCTATTTCTCCTTTATTTTCTGCATCTTCAGGATTGATATTAATACTGGGTATTGGAACAGGCTGAGGTTCAGTGGGCTGTGAAGCGGCAGTAACTTGAGGTTCTGCTTTAACTGGTACGTCACTTGGAATTTCTTTTTGCTCTGTGTCCACCTGAGTAGTGGCTTTATGAACATCCGGAGTTTCCCTTTCTAAAGCTCTCTGGTCAGTGTCGCTCACTACACTTCTGACCTCTGTTCCTTCAGTGCCACTTGATTCAGTTATCGCAGCTTCATTTGTCCTGCCTTCCTCACTGGTCTCCAATGTGTTCTCTGAGCTGCTGATTGGTTGCTCCTCACCCTTACCATCTATAGATTTTTTGTCTGTCTCATTAGTTTCAACTCTTTCTTCAAGAGAAACTTTCTCAGTACCACCAGCCTCAGGACCCTCTGTGGACTTGATCGCTAATGTCTGGCCTACGTCACCCACTTCTTTCCCATCACCACGCTGAGCATCCTCAGCACCGTTCTCAGTTGCCCTCTGAGCAACATCTTCTGCCTCATTTGTACCTATCACTTTGCTTGTATCACTGATTGTATCTTTTTCAGTTTTGTCCTCTTTTCCCAATTTCTCTTGGGTATCTTCCTTTGTAAACTCAACTTCATTTTCAATTGCCTGAATATCTGCCTCTTTTTCTCCAGTCTCTTCAGAAACTAAATCCATTGCTTGGACAGTAGTATCTTCAATTTCTTCAGATTTTATAAACTTATTTTCAAATATCTGCTGCTTTTCCTGATCTGTTTCTTCTTCAGGTTTCAGACTCTGTTCAGTATTTGTTTCTGAAGTTATCATTATGTTATTTTCCTTTCCTTCACTGACTGACCTAATGTCCACTGCCTCATGGTCTTCTGTGTCAGGAAGATTTTCAAGCTTGGGTCTCTTCTCTTCTCTTCCATTTTCCTCAATTACTGCTGCTTTATTATGAAGTTCAGCCATAGCTTCTAAATGAGTATCATTAACATGTTCATCAGGACCCACCACAACCTTTTCAGGTTCATCACCGGTGGGTTTTTCAGTAAGAATTTTACTGTTAAATTTATCTTCAGAAGTATTACGCTCTGTTTTTTCTGAGACAGATTCCAAAATACAAGCATTTTGTGAAAGCTTATCTTCTTCAGAGCTGGCAATACTCAGGTCAGAGGAGGCACGCTTGCTGGCAGGTATTGGCTAAAAAAGATTTTATACAGTTGTAGTGTTAAAAATGTAATTTCAAGATGGTGACCAAAACAATATTTCATATATATGTGTATATATATATATAAATGATGAATTCATATATATAGTGATTTAATATTTTTATTCAGTAAAATTTGATAAAATTATAAAAATAATTTAAAGAGCTGACAAATCTTCACATAATAAATATGACAAAAATGGATAGCAAGGCGCAAACTTGAAAGCAAGGAGCAAACTTAATAAATCTTCACCTCTAAATTAAAGGTTTTTGTATTGCTACCCAATAAATTGGGCTTCCTTGGTAGTTCCATAGTAAAGAATCCACCTGCCAATGCAGGAGACACAGGTTTGATCCCTAGGTTGGGAAGACCCTTGGAGAAGGAGATGGCAACCCACTTCAGTATTCTTGCCTGGGAAATCCCAGACAGAGAAGCCTCATGGGTTACAGTCCATGGGGTTGCCAAAGAGTTGGACACGACTTAACAACTAAACAACAACAATCCAATCAATTAATTCTTAGACATACGTGCAATCGTAACTCAAAACTCAACTCTAAAAATTACCAAAACACAATCTCCTTTTTAAATACTGACCAGAGAATTTTCTGTTTCCTCATCATCATCCTCCTCTTTGCCATCTTCAACTTCTTCTGTAACTTCAGCCTTCGCCTCTGCAATCAACTCCCGAATTGGTTTGTTGGAATCAACGGTCACAAAAGGATGCTGTTTGATCATTAAAAAGAGCACTTTCAATAACAACTGAAATGCTTATGGAGTGAGTTTCATATATATATAAAACACATTATGTGGTAAAAACACTGACATGTAAATAGGAAAAATACAAACAACTTCAGATGATAAGACGGATAAGACGGGGGGGAAGAGAACTGAACAGGAACAGGGGCTGCCTGCAACTCTATCTGCACGTGTTTTTTAAGAATCTGAAAGAAATATGTCAGAAATGATGACACATTACTTCTGGGTAATAGCTTCATGTACTCTGCTGTATGTCTGAAAATTTCATAACCTAAAATCTAAATTAAAATTAAACCAAGTTGCAAATACATTACTAGTTCTTAAAAAGTAATAGTATGCTTACATCTCATACAAAACCTCAATAAAATAATTACAAAAAGCTTTAGAGATCTGTTAAAAGTGTCTATAAACACCTGTTTTTTTTATATAGTTCTAATGTTTTTAAGAGTAAGAAGATATTTTATTCATCTCTGTACTCTGCACTTAGCCTTTGTCACAGACTGAGGCCTTCCAGTGTAGAGGAAGTGAAACAAGAGAAAATGCATTCCACGGTTATATGTGTTGTACAGACAGAAAGGCAATTTTTCTTGCTTCTCCCTCCAGATAAATAGCAACCTGAAAAACTATAATGGAGGAGTTGTACAATAACTCAACCTAACAGTGACTGCTTCAAGATTTGTCATTCTACTTGTCTATCTGTACCACTGTTTGACAAAATTTTATTCCATATATTACAAACAAAATTAAAGTCCTGCTATAAAACAAAATTATTCAATCACTTAAACACCATTTTTACTTAAAGTTAGCAATATTTACTGAACATTTGCCCTCACTGTAAGAGACACTAAAAAGGAAATTAGCTCACAGCCCCTGTCACCAAGGTGCTTGTTTTCTAGTAATGGAGAAACTGAATGGAAGTGATTGACAAAGTGGAAATAACTAAACAAAATGAAAAAAAACACAAACTGAATCAGAAAAGCATAGGAGAAATTACTTAAAAGCTAAATAAATGCCTCTTAGTAAGGGGAGCACATGTTTATAAAGTAAATGTTTACCTACTACAATATATCTTGTATTCATCTTAAAGAGATGTTACAACAGTTATATGGTTTGCCACTGTCATACTACTCTTATTTTACCTGCAGTAGCTGAGATGTAGTCCACCTGGAATCCACATTCTTTTCCAAGCATTTCTTTAGAAAGTCCTTAAAATTTGAAGACCTTCAAAATAAAATTTTAATGACATTCTATTATATTTTCTTGTTATTAAAATCAAAACTATGAGAAACCATGGTTAAGTTCTATCATTATGTAATAGTAGTAACTCAACATAAAACTAGTTCATGAGAATATTAATATTCATGTCATTCATTTATAAATACAAGTCACATATATGTAAGTAGACTTATAGTTTTAAGTCATTGAGATACAGTCAAATGTTCATAAGAAAGCTAAAAACCACAAAAATTCTTCCATTATATTAAACTCCACAAATAAAGATCACATATATGCCTTAGCTCCTCACAGAAAATACTTTTTCATGTAGAACTCCAATCACTGCTATTTTCAAATTGATGGGGAAAGTTAATTATAAGAGTTTATATGATCCTTAAGTCTCAAAAATACACCAGTATCAGTTTTCTATTTCATACAACCATGTATCTAAGTTTAAATACCCTTGGAAAGCTGGAAGAATAAAGCTTCAAATTTTTCTTCTTAAAAAGTTTTGTTTAGGAATATTTTACCATTTTGATGGCTGTGCTAATGTAGGGGGCTCAGATTTTGCTATTTTTAGCAGCACTCTCATTGGGTTTAATTCATGATGAGGTGGTTCTATCTCAGCCATTTCTATTAAAGTGATACCCAGGGACCAAACGTCAGCTTTGTAGTCATAGGGTCTGTCCTTTGATGTTTCACACATGACTACCTCAGGAGCCATCCTATGAAGACAGAGAATCGAAAATTAAGATGTTTAACTTAAAATGGTGATCACAAACCACATAAAAGACAAGACAGTATAATCAAACATGTGGACAAAATTAACATATAATAACTGCTGACATAACTAATGCAGCAAATCCATAAAACTGAATACATACCAATAGGGTGTGCCAATAAAGGAATCTCTCCTTTGAATTGTCCTTGTGTTTTTAGCTGATACTCCAAAATCCGCTTGAAACAAATAACCATACAAAAGTATTACTGATAGTTTTTAAGCAGTTTGCTATATTCAACTTAAGGGAAAAGCATATCAAGTCTTTAATAAGACCACTGTTATTAAAGGGTAAGCAAAACAGAACTGGAGTGGCAACCCATTCCAATATTCTTTCCTGGAGAATCCCCATGGACAGGGGAGCAGGCTACCATCCATGGGGTCACAAAGAGTTGCACATGGCTGAGCGACTAAGCACATTGTCAACTCAGTATTTCATTTCAGTACTCCATTTCAGGGTTTTTTGAGAGCCCATTATCAGTCTTCTTAACTTTTTTTTCCCTCAGAACATGACTGGGAAAGGAGGTTCAAAACCAGACCTAAACCACAAATGTCCACTGCCAAGTATTCTTATGAGCAGGCGATAAACTAAGGAGGAACAAGAAGCCACCTTCATTCTTGTGCAAGGGGGAAAATTAAGGTCATTATTAAGTACTTTACAGTTCTACTTGCAATAACGTGGCAGATATATGTTGGTCTGTTAAAACAGCATTTTACATATTTATTTCCATTTGCAAGAATGTGATCTGATAATAAAAATTTGGTTATTGTAATGTATATATGGCTCCTGAGGATACTACGGTTCTATAATACCTGTGTATACTTAATACAATGTCACAGACATGGAAGATATTCTGTATGTATGAATTAATGAAATAAAGTGCAATTATTTCAAATGCCAACCAACACAAAACTATTTCAGCATCCTAAATCTTCAAAAATATACTTATTTTTAATGGCATGTATTATTTTACACAAAAGTATATTCCTGTATTCAAATAATATTTTAGAACACTTATAGAAAACATGCACCAAAAATGGATCAAATTATACTATTTTAAAACAAGCTATAAGACTTTAAAATATAAGACATAAAAAAGTAACATATATCAGAACTTTAAAACTCATGAATGAGATGACAGAACACAAGAGACATTAGAAATAAAAAAATCATTTTAGAAACAAAGACTAAACTAGGAGAAATGCAAGAGCAAATAAACACAACGAATTCACACCCACTATTACTTCACACCCATTAGGATGGTTATCATCAAAAATACAGAAAATAACAAGTGCTGGGAAGGAGGTGGAAAAACTGGACCCCCTGTGCATTGCTATGGAAATGTAAATTGGTGCAACCACTGTGGAAAATGGTATGATGGTTCCTCAAAAAATTAACATAGAATTATCATACAGTCTGGGTACCTGCCCAAAAGAAATGAAAGCAGGAGCTCAAAACAGATATTGTACACCCATGTTCATAACAGCATTATTCACAGAAGCCCAAAGGTGGAAGCAACCAAAATGTCCATCAATGGATGAATGAATAAGTCAAACATGGTGTATACATATGCTGATATATTATTATATAAGGCAGAATATTATTCAGCCTTAAAAAGGAAGACAATTAACATATGAATTTGAATAGGACATATGTAGGAATTCAGGAGAGCCTTGCTCTGTCCTTTGGAAAGGCCTAGAATGAAGGCCAGTCCAGAAACTATAAGCATACCTAACACTCAGACTGTGATCTTAAAATACCATGTCCTACTAAAGGAAAGAATACAAAACCACGCAGACTCTTGCCAAAAAGTCTTTCGATTTATCTGCAAATTGAGGGAAATATAGAGAGGAACTCCCTGAACTCATCAGGAGTATGCAATCAGCAAAATGCAAGGTAAGAGAAACTACAGGTCCAACAGCTCAGGTCCCACAGACGAGTGTTTCTCAACTTCTTTTTTCACCTCTCCTAAAGAGCCTTTTTAGACATTTTTCCCCAATCCTCTCTCTCCTCATGAAATTTTAATGTCACAGATATACTGTATATCTGTTCATGTCCTATCACTGGGCCTTTGGAGGATCACAACCACGGTAATACTAAAATTTTCTTTCTATCTTTGAGAAAGCATGCCATGAAAATGCATGCCACAGATAAAACATAAAGAAAAGAAAGGAACGGTGGGGAGGGGGTTGGGGGGGTATGACCCATAAATTAAGAGACTTAAAAGAAAAAGCAGGTTTTAAACATGGACAAGTCTAAACACTACAGTCTAAAGATGAACATTGGGTGATAGAGTCATAAAGAAACACAGGGAAGTGATTACTATAAAGGATAGTATACAGGTTACCCGTGGAGAAGAGAAGGACAGTGACTGAGATGAGGCACATGATACAGCTCCTAAGGTGCCTGACATACTTCTATTTCTTTATCTAAGTAGTGATTACAAAGCTATTGTGTACAGAGCTACAAATCAGCAAGCTACACAACTCTTAATGTGGTTTCCTGTATCTGTATTTATTTCTCAGAAAAAAAATTAAAATTTAGTAGTATATCAAAGTATACCTGCTTAGAGCTAACACCTATCTTACTCAAACTCTTCCAGAAAATTGCAGAAGGCAAACTTCCAAACTCATTCTACGAGGCCACCATCACCCTAATACCAAAACCAGACAGAGATGCCACAAAAAAAGAAAACTACAGGCCAATATCACTGATAAACATAGATGCAAAAATCCTTAACAAAATTCTAGCAAACAGAATCCAACAACATATTAAAAAGATCATACATCATGACCAAGTGGGCTTTATCCCAGGAATGCAAGGATTCTTTAATATCCGCAAATCAATGTAATACACCACATTAACAAACTGAAAGATAAAAACCATATGATTATCTCAATAGAAGCAGAAAAAGCCTTTGACAAAATTCAACATCCATTTATGATAAAAACTCTCCAGAAAGCAGGAATAGAAGGAACATACCTCAACATAATAAAAGCTATATGTGACAAACCCACAGCAAACATTATCCTCAATGGTGAAAAACTGAAAACATTTCCCTTAAAGTCAGGAACAAGACAAGGGTGCCCACTCTCACCACTACTATTCAACATAGTTTTGGAAGTGTTGGCCATAGCAATCAGAGCAGAAAAAGAAATAAAAGGAATCCAGATAGGAAAAGAAGAAGTAAAACTCTCACTGTTTGCAGATGACATGATCCTCTACATAGAAAACCCTAAAGACTCTACCAGAAAATTACTAGAGCTAATCAATGAGTACAGTAATGTTGCAGGATATAAAATTAACACACAGAAATCCCTTGCATTCCTATACACTAACAATGAGAAAACAGAAAGAGAAATTAAGGAAACAATACCATTCACCTTTGCAACAAAAAGAATAAAATACTTAGGAGTATATCTACCTAGAGAAACAAAAGGCTTATACATAGAAAACTATAAATCACTGATGAAAGAAATCAAAGAGGACACAAACAGATGGAGAAACATACCGTGCTCTTGGATTGGAAGAATCAATATTGTGAAAATGTCTATACTACCCAAAGCAATCTACAGACTCAATGCAATCCCTATCAAGCTACCAACAGTATTTTTCACAGAACTAGAACAAATAATTTCACAATTTGTATGAAAATACAAAAAACCTCAAATAACCAAAGCAATCTTGAGAAAGAAGAATGGAACTGAAGGAATCAACCTGCCTGACTTCAGGCTCTACCACAAAGCCACAGTCATCAAGACAGTATGGTACTGGCACAAAGACAGAAATATAGATCAATGGAGCAAAATAGAAAGCCCAGAGATAAATCCACGAACCTATGGACACCTTATCTTCGACAAAGGAGGCAAGGATATACAATGGAAAAAAGACAACCTCTTTAACAAGTGGTGCTGGGAAAACTGGTCAACCACTTATAAAAGAATGAAACTAGAACACTTTCTAACACCATACACAAAAATAAACTCAAAATGGATTAAAGATCTAAACGTAAGACCAGAAACTATAAAACTCCTAGAGGAGAACATAGGCAAAACACTCTCTGACATAAATCACAGCAGGATCCTCTATGACCCACCTCCCAGAATACTGGAAATAAAAGCAAAAATAAAGAAATGGGACCTGATGAAACTTAAAAGCTTTTGCACAACAAAGGAAACTATAAGCAAGGTGAAAAGACAGCCTTCAGAATGGGAGAAAATAATAGCAAATGAAGCAACAAAGGATTAATCTCAAAAATATACAAGCAACTCCTGCAATTCAATTCCAGAAAAATAAATGACCCAATCGAAAAATGGGCCAAAGAACTAAACAGACATTTCTCCAAAGAAGACATACAGATGGCTAACAAACACATGAAAACATGCTCCCCATCACTCATTATCAGAGAAATGCAAATCAAAACCACAACGAGGTACCATTACACGCCAGTCAGGCCTGCTGCTATCCAAAAGTCTACAAGCAATAAATGCTGGAGAGGGTGTGGAGAAAAGGGAACCCTCTTACACTGTTGGTGGGAATGCAAACTAGTACAGCCGCTATGGAGAACAGTGTGGAGATTTCTTTAAAAACTGGAAATAGAACTGCCATATGACCCAGCAATCCCACTTCTGGGCATACACACCAAGGAAACCAGATCTGAAAAGAGACACATGCACCCCAATGTTCATTGCAGCACTGTTTATAATAGCTAGGACATGGAAGCAACCTAGATGCCCATCAGCAGATGAATGGATAAGGAAGCTATGGTACATATACACAATGGAATATTACTCAGCCATTAAAAAGAAGTCATCTGAATCAGTTCTAATGAGATGGACGAAACTGGAGCCCATTATACAGAGTGAAGTAAGCCAGAAAGATAGAGACGAATACAGTATACTAACGCATATATATGGAATTTAGAAAGATGGTAACGATAACCCTATATGCAAAACAGACAAAGATACACAGATGTACAGAATGGACTTTTGGACTCTGTGGGAGAAGGTGAGGGTGGGATGTTCTGAGAGAATAGCACTGAAGCAAGTATACTATCAAGGGTGAAATAGATCAAGAGCCCAGGTTGGATGCATGAGACAAGTGCTCAGGGCTGGTGCACTGGGAAGACCCAGAGGGATGGGATGGGGAGGGAGGCGGGAAGGGGGATGGGGATGGGGAACACATGTAAATCCATGGCTGATGCATGTCAATGTATGGCAAAAACCATTACAATATTGTAAAGTAATTAGCCTCCAACTAATAAAAATAAATGAAAAAAAAAAAGTATACCTGCTTAGAGGTCATGACAAAGTAAAGTGAACTATGATCACTGGTATCAGCATGGCCATTGGATATATTTTGTCCTTTTAATATCTGTCCAAAATACTCAAATTTAGGCTTCCTCACCAGTTTTTTTTTTTTAATTCATATCTTGGAAATACTTAAAAACGACTGTATCTTCTATCTGTATGTGTATATATGAAATTCATTAATTTCCCATCTAAAGTCTATATCTATTCCTCCTTATGAAATTATCATTTATTCCCTCAATGAAAAAAAAAAAAATTTTCAACCTTATACTTAATTTAGCATCTTTTTTACACTTAAGGTTAGTTACTTTGTGAGTTTAGCCAAGATACCGTATCTATAAAATAGAATATAAAACTAAAGATGGAAAAAGAAAACGACTAGATATGAGTTTTGGAAATGAAGACAAAACTAAGTGGTTTTACATAATGTATCATTTTCTAAATGCACTGTATTTATAAATATTAATTCTACATATAAAAATTTAAGGGAAAAATTATTAGGCAGTCTTTTAAAAGTGTGTCTTTTTCAAAATAACAATCCATCCTTTCTTATTGTTTAGAGTCTTTATATTAGGTGCCTATACTTAGAAATTCTGGGAGTTAATGAATAATTATTTCCCAAGTTTTTTGTTTTTTTGGCCTCACCTCATGTTTTGTGGGATCTTAGTTCCCAGGCCACTGGCAGTGAAAGCACCAAGTCTTAACCACTGGACTGCCAGGGAAATCCCTCCAAGGAAGTAGTTTAAAAATTGCTGCTGCTGTTTAGTCACTAAGTCGTGTCTGATTCTTTACGATCCCATGGACTGCAGCTCACCAGGTCCCTCTGTCCGTGGGACTTCCCAGGCAAGAATACAGGAGTGGGTTGCCATTTCCTTCTCCCGGAGATCTTCCCAACCCAGGGATCAAATCCACATCTCCTGTTTGGCAGGCAGATTCTTTACCACTACACCACCTGGGAAGCCCCAATTTAAAAAATTAACATGAAGTAATTCTCCATGTTTTACATATTTTAACATAATTCTCTTTGTTTCACATATTAATATTTGAGTCATAAAAGAACAATAATAAGTAACAGACATACAGGGAGAAATCTCTAAGCACAAAATCAAATGTTTTATCTAACAGAATAAACTTACCCAACTTAATATCTCCATCTAAGGTAAAAAGAATGTTGCCAGCCTTTAGATCTCTGTGGATGATTTTATTATCATGTAAGTAGTTCAAAGCCTCTAAAGTTTGCTTACAAACTACTTGTATTTGGGACTCAGTTAACGGTCTCTCAAGCTCTGAAACGAAAAAGTAAACAAATAAGCATTTTGGTACGGTGAAAGTGTATCAGCAGGCTATATACCTTTGATACTTATACTGTCACTGTTGAAGATAATATACAATGAAATGATTTTTTTTAAAGTATAACACAAATATTACTTTCTTCACATATTATACTCAACATTTAATTTTAAAATTTTATTTCAGTCATCTAAGAATACAAAAATAATTAGGCTGATTTAACTTATTGAATGTTACTCAACAATAAGATAAACATACATGTATAAATGTTTGAAATCCACTGACTTTTTTTAAAGTATAATTTAAGATATAAATGTAAGGAACAGAAATACATTTACCAAGCATCACAGCATCCACTGCTCCACCAGCACAAAATTCAATGAGGATCTGCAGGCAAATAAAAAAGCACATGTTTAACACAACACTGATTCTGAGTATTTTTCCTTCAAGCTAGCAAAAAAGATAAATAAATAGGTATCAAATAACCTAAGTTACATAAACAATATTATGCTAACAACCATAAAGACTTTCTTTGTAAAAAGAGTTACAAGTCTTGCTATACATTTGAGAAAGTACAAAAGGAACACACTGTGGAAGTATGAGCATTTTTGTTCATCACCACTTGTAGTGTCCCAGGTTCTCTAAAATTACCAGGTACAGAATTTTTATTAAGGGCTATATTATATATCCATTTCCTCACCACTCAAAGACTATACTCTCCTTTTTAAGGTAACTATTCTTTGTTAAATGAACAAGTATATTTTTTAACTTTACCACCAGGAATATATCCTGAAAGATGGATTTTAGTTTTTCTAAAAACTTGGGGAAAACAATACACAAAAGCTTCAGATACTAGCTCACTTATCACTTCCTACTGGATGCCTTCCCAAACCTCGCCAGTACATACCACCATGCAGTTTTCCTTCTTAATCCTCATCACAGTTTTCATTTCGCATTTTTATGATTCTTCAATTAATTCATGTCTATCTCTCCCTCCCACTGTCCCTCATCGTTGTCCAGCTATTTTTTTAATTACATAGCTTAACAAATTTTATAGATTCATAGTTTTCTCTCCTCTATAGAACAACACTTTATTTTTTACAGGAGCTTACCAATAAGTTGTTTTCAAACTCATTATATCATAGGAAAAATAATTTGGGAGACAGATCATTATTCATCCTATAGTTGAGTAAACAGACTGATAAAAGATTAACTGATTTATCCAAGTTCCTGCCTAGCATCACCAAAATAAAAAAGGAAAGGTCTTTTGATTCTCAAGCAAGTACAGCTTATATTATCTACACTTCTTTTGTAATACTTTGCTTATTCCTTCAAGGAGACAAACTAAAACTCCATTTAAAAAAGTACTCTTGATTGAATTAGTATTGGTGCAGAGCAAGTGACTGACTGATTATAAATATTCACATTTTTTATATATTTATTTATGTCTAACATTTTCTAGAAATGAATAAAGTTTTACATACAGGCCTAGCCACAACAAAAGAAACTTAAACAAAAATTTAAATACTTAAATTTAAATTAAGAAACTTAAATAAGACACTTCAAACTAACATTAAATAAATAAAAGAACTGGGGGAAAAAAGACTTGAAAGAAAGAAAGTTCTAACTGGGAAAAAAATATTAATTCAAGAGAAAAAAGGAATCTAATTTCATTATTTAGGAAATTTAAAATTCTTCACCAAGTTTCTAAATTTCAGTTAAATGTCAAACAATCAAGAAATATAGTATTCTGAAATACACATCTAAACATCAGTTGAAGTTAAGGATATGTTGCTATGTTGTTAATCACCCTCTCATCAACGGGTCAATTCTCATTCAAGTAGCCTAAGTAACTAAATAGAAGAGGTAGTGCAAAAAAAGGTCTACACAACTTATAAATCTCCTCAAGACAATTAACTTATTTTGGCTATTCCTACAGATTAACCAAAAATACTTACCCAAAGATTATTCTCATAATAGAAGGCATCTAGAAGCTTGACTATATTAGGGTGATCACAAGATGCTAATATATCAATTTCAACCATATAGTCTTCAAGTTCTTCTTCAGATTTGGTGTCAATCACCTTTGCAGCAGCTAAAACATTGGTCTCTTTATTCTGGGCCTGAAAACAAAAGTATCGTTAAGTCCACAATTACAATGCATATTTGCTTTATAAATATCATTATTTTTTAAAAAACCTTATTTTTTAGTTTTCAGTTCACAGCAAATCTAAACAGAAAGTACAGTTCAGTTCAGTTCAGTCGCTCATTCATGTCCAACTCTTTGTGACCCCACCTCGGACTACAGCGCGGCAGGCCTCCCTATCAATCACCAACTCCTGGAGTTACTAAAACTCATGGCCATTGAGTCGGTGATGCCATCCAACCATCTCATCCTCTGTCGTCCCCTTCTCCTCCTGCCCCCAGTCCCTCCCAGCATCAGGGTCTTTTCCAATGAGTCAGTTCGTCACAGCAGCTGGCCAAAGTATTGGAGTTTCAGCTTCAGCATCAGTCCTTCCAATGAATATTAAGGACTGATTTCCTTTAGGATGGACTGGTTGGATCTCCTTGCAGTACAAGGGACTCTCAAGAGTCTTCTCCAACACCACAGTTCAAAAGCATCAATTCTTCCATGCTCAGCATTCTTTATACTCCAATTCTCACATTCATACATGACTACTGGAAAAACCACAGCTTTGACTAGACAGACCTTTATTGGCAAAGTAATGCCTCTGCTTTTTAATATGCTGTCTAGGTTGGTCATAACTTTCCTTCCAAGGAGCAAGAATCTTTTAATTTAATGGCTGCAATCACCATCTGAAGTGATTCTGGAGCCCCCAAAAATAAAGTCTCTCACTATTTCCACTGTTCCCCCATCTAGTTGCCATGAAGTGATGGGACCAGATACCATGATCTTAGTTTTCTGAATGTTGAGCTTTAAGCTAACTTTTTCACTCTCCTCTTTCACTTTCACCAAGAGGCTCTTTAGCTCTTCTTCACTTTCTGCCATAAAAGTGGTGTCATCTACATATCTGAGGTTATTGTTATTTTTCCAAGCAATCTTGATTCCAGCTTCTGCCTCATCCAGCCCAGCGAGTCTTATGATGTGCTCTGCATACAAGTTAAATAAGTAGGGTGACAATATACAGCCCTGATGTACTACTTGCCCTATTTGGAACAAGTCTGTTATTCCATGTCCAGTTCTAACAGATGCTTCCTGACCTGCATACAGGTTTCTCAAGAGGTAGGTGAGGTGGTCTGGTATGCCCATCTCTTTCAGAATTCTCCACAGTTTATTGTGATCCACACAGTCAAAGGTTTTGGCGTAGTCAATAAAGCAGAAATAGATGTTTTTCTGGAACTCTCTTGCTTTTTCGATGATCCAACAGATGTTAGCAATCTGATCTCTGGTTCCTCTGCCTTTTCTAAATTCAGCTGGGACATCTGGAAGTTCATGGTTCATGTACTGTTGAAGCCTGGCTTGGAGAATTTTGAGCATTACTTTACTAGCGTGTGAGGTGAGTGCAATCGTGCAGTAGTTTGAGCATTCTTTGGCACTGCCTTTCTTTGGGATTGGAATGAAAACTGACCTCTTCCAGTCCTGTGGCCACTGCTGAGTTTTCCAAATTTGCTGGCATATCGAGTGTAGCACTTTTAACAGCATCATCTTTTAGGATTTGAAATAGCTTGACTGGAATTCCATCACCTCCACTAGCTTTGTTTGCAGTGATGCTTCCTAAGGCCCACTTGACTTCACATTCAAGGATGTCTGGCTCTAGGTCAGTGATCACACCATCGTGGTTATCTGGGTTGTGAAGATCTTTTCTGTATAGTTGTTCTGTGTATTCTTGCCACCTCTTCTTAATATCTTCTGCTTCGGTTAGGTCCATACCATTTTTATCCTTTATTGTGCCCATCTCTGCATGAAATGTTCCCTTGGTATCTCTAATTTTCTTGAAGAGATCTCTAGTCTTTCCCATCCTATTGTCTTCCTCTATTTCTTTGCACTGATCGCTGAGGAATGCTTTCTTATCTCTCCTTGCTATTCTTTGGAACTCTGCATTCAAATGGGTATATCCCTCCTTTTCTCCTTTGCCTTTCACTTCTCTTCTATTCACAGCTATTTGTAAGGCCTCCTTAGACAACCATTTTGCCTTTTTGCATTTCTTTTCCTTAAGGATGGTCTTGATCCCTGCCTCCTGTACAATGTCACAAACCTCTGGTCCACAGTTCTTCAGGCACTCTATCAGATCTAATCCCTTGAATCTACTTCTCACTTTCAGGGTATAACCATAAGTGATTTGATTTAGGCCATACCTGAATTGCCTAGTGGTTTTCCCTACTTTCTTTAAGTCTGAATTCGGCAATAAAGAGTTCATGGTCTGTGCCACAGTCAGCTCCTAGTCTTGTTTTTGCTGAGTGGATAGAACTTCTCCATCTTTAGCTGCAAAGAATATAATCAATCTGATTTCAGTATCGATGATCTGGTAATGTCCACGTGTAGAGTCTTCTCTTGTGTTGTTGGAAGAGGGTGTTTGCTATGACCAGTGCATTCTCTTGGCAAAACTATTTTAGCCTTTGCCCTGCCTCATTCTGTACTCCAAGGTCAAATTTGCCTGTTACTCCAGGTATTTCTTGACTTCCTACTTTGCATTCCAGTCCCCTATAATGAAAAGGATATCTTTTTTGGGTGTTAGTCCTAGAAGGTCTTGAAGATCTTCATAGAACTGTTCAGCTTCTTCAGCATTGCAGGTTGGGGCATAGACTTGGATTACAGTGATAGTGAATGTTTGCCTTGGAAATGAACAGAGATCATTCTGTCATTTTTGAGACTGTATTGCATTTCGGACTCTTTTGTTGACTATGATGGCTACTCCATTTCTTCTAAGGGATTCTTGCCCACAGTAGAAGATATAATATACAGAAAGTAGATATAATGTAGCAGAAAGTACAAAGAGTTTCCATATACATCCTTTCCCTATTCATGCACAGTCTTCCCCACTACCAACATTCTGCACCAGAGTGGTACGTTTGTTAAAGCTGAGGAATCTATACTGACACATCATCATTAACTGAAGTGCATTGTTTACATTAGGATGAACTCCTGGTGTGCCCTCTATGGGTCTGGACAAAATACATGATATGTATCCACCACGTTAATATCATACAGAATAGTTTCACTGCCCTAAAAATCTCTATGCTCTGCCTATTCATCCCACTCTTTCTCCTAACCCCTCCACTCATCTTTTTACTGTCTCTATAGTTTTCTGTTTTTCATACAGTATGTAGCCTTTTCAGACTGGCTTCTTTCACTGAGTAACATACCTCTAAGATTCCTCCACATCTTTTCATGGTTTTATACCTAATTTCTTTTTAGTGCTAAATAATCACTGGATACACAGATGTAGTAGGCAATGTTTATTCATTCACCAACTGAAGGCATCTTGGTTGTTTCCAGGTTTTAGCAATGATGAATAAAGCTGCTATATACATCTGCATGCAGCTTTTTGTGTGGATGTGAGTTTTCGACTCCTCTGAATAAGTACGAAGGAGCAGAATTACTGGATCTTATGGTAAAAGTATGTGCAGTTTTGCAAGATACTGACAAACTGTCTTCTAAAGTGGGAAACAGTGGAAACAGTGACTTTATTTTGGGGGGCTCCAAAATAACTGCAGATGGTGATTGCAGCCATGAAATTAAATGATGCTTGCTCCTTGGGAGGAAAGTTATGACCAACCTAGACGCATATTAAAAAGCAGAGACATTACTTTACCAACAAAAGTCCATCTAGTCAAAGCTATGGTTTTTCCAGTAGTCATGTATGGATGTGAGAGTTGGATTATAAAGCTGAGCACCAAAAAATTGAAGCTTTTGAACTATGCTGTTGGAGAAGACTCTTGAGAGTCCCTTGGACTGCAAGAAGATCCAACCAGTCCATCCTAAAGGAGATCAGTCCTGGGTGTTCATTGGAAGGACTGATGCTGAAGCTGAAACTCCAATATTTTGGCCGCCTCATGTGAAGAGTTGACTCATTGGAAAAGAACCTGATGCTGGGAGGGATTGGGGGCAGGAGGAGAAGGGGACGACAGAGGATGAGATGGCTGGATGGCATCACCAACTTGATGGACATGAGTTTGAGTAAACTCCGGGAGTTGGTGATGGACAGGGAGGCCTGGCATGCTGCGATTCATGGGGTCGCAAAGAGCTGGACGCGACTGAGCCATTGAACTGAACTGAACTGAAACATAAATATTAACAGATACATGCTAAGTGCTTAATACAGATAGAATTTCAAGTTGCAGGTTCTACTGGATCAGACTCTTAGGGTTCAAATTTTGATTCTGCCACTTAATAACTACATTGTTTGGGCAACTTATAAAATCCCTCTCTTAGACTTAGCTTCCTCATCAATAAAATGTACTTACAACTCACACGTTTGTGAGAATTAATATGAGATATCTGCCAAGGGAAAAAAATAAACATTTAATACACTGCCTGCCATTCACAGTAAAAAGGATTCGAAAACGTTACCTGGAAAAAAAAAAAAAAAAAGGAAACGTTACCTGGAATTATTACTATTACTAGTTAATCCTCAAAATGATACCAGGATATATTAGCATTCCTGCTTTAAAGGAGGATAAATAAACTTAGTGAGATTAAAATGCTTCCCCAAGGTCAAGAAGTAAGAGGCAGAATCGAGATTCAAATCCAGGCTGTTTCCAAAATTCTTTATCTTTATCATTACCCTTACCAATTTCCCTATATTTCCATCAGTTTAATTATTTTTCATTGTTTTTAGTACTTTAACTTTTCCATTTTCTTTCTTTAACTGAATAACTTCTCACTTCCATTTATTACAAAGGGAAGGTTTCCAAATGTGTAGTAGAAGTCAAGATCATTATTTTAAAGTTATGAATCAAATCATAAAATACTACTAGGCTTTTTTACATGGACAGAGGAGTCTGGTGGGCTACAGTTCATGGAGTTGCAGAGCTGGACAAGACTGAGTGACTGCGCGCACACACAAAGGTCTTTAAAGGAGATTTTGAACATTATGCATGTTACCATCACGTCAGCAAATCTATCATTTTATAAGAAAAAACAGCAAACTTTCAAAAGCTA